TTATTATATATAATTGGTGTTCAAATTCAGCTGACATTGTTGTTAAATCTAATTAGTGAAGACCTCATGCGAGTTGTTGCTAAGTAGGAAATCCATCACTTTCCAATTGGCTAGGCTCATCACATGAAATTGAATTTTAAAATTTGAGTAGAAAAGGATTGCATTCTCTTTTGCTAAATTGTTTATGCATCAATCAACATTGAATTGTTATGTGTGATGAACAAAATGTCAAATGTTAACGGAGGTACAAACTGTGCTACCAGGTTTTATCGGTATAAAAATATTATTTACACTTGAAGATTTAAAATTTCTAATAAAAAAAATGAACAATTTATGTTAGTATTTTGAACTGTCAAAGAAAAATAATAAAATTAAATTAAAATTATAATAAAATAATAAAATAAGAATAAATGGAGAAGTAAAAAAAAAAAAAAGTGACCAAAGGTGAAAATACTCATCAGTATCTATTAGAAAAATTACAATAGCAAATTAAGAAGATTATTTATTAGCCATAATTAAAAATGTATAACATTGTTGCTGCCATGTCTCAAACTTTTAAACTTATATTTTAAAATAAAATACTATCCTATTTATTATTTTTACTGATATTTTTTTTATTTTCACATAATATTTTTCTATGCATTTCATGAACTCAATATTAATTTTAAAAATAATTCTAATATCATTAAATTATAATTTATTGGTTGTGTTCTTTTGTAATTTATGTCATTTAATTTTTTATATTATTATATAAGGAAAATTTTAAAAATTTTTCAGAGTTTGGCAGAGGAGCCTATGATAGATATTTGATAGAACAAAGAAACCAAAAACATCTTAAAACGGTTTTTTTTTTTCTTTGAAACAAAAATCTTTTTCGTTCTTTCCTTCTTTAGAAAAAAAAAAGAGTGAAAATAATTGAAGGTGAAATATAATAAATATATTTATAAATGTTGAGAGATGAAGCAAAGGACAACATTTTTGGATAGAATCAAATGAACCGCAGAGGGGCACACCATGTGGCATGTGTGTTCTCTTCCTTTCTTAGATTTGGAATCACAATAATAATGTATTGAAACTATTTTCCAAAATTGAAATGTTTCCGAAAATAAATATTATAATATTTATTGTTAAATATGAAAAAAGTCTTGAAAAATATAAATTAATTAACTTATATTTATAAAATTACAATAAATTTATTAATGTCTAGAAATTTTTTTTCGGAAAAGTCATTTTCTTCCAAAATACTCAATTTTCTTTTTTTTATCAAGAAAATATTTCTCTTAACTGATATTTCTGAATACACACACACACACACATATATATATCTTGAAATACACACACACACACAATATATATTATATATATATATATATATATATTTCAATATTAATTTATTTAACAATTTTATCAATTATTTTCAAAGTAATACAAATAATACATGAAGTACAGTTTCTCCTTGAATACTTAAGATATAGAATAAATTTGTCATAATGAGTTGGTAAAGCTAAATATATATATATATTCAATATAATTTATTACAATTTTATCAATTATTTCAAAGTAATACAAATAATACATGAAGGACAGTCTTCTCTTGAATACTAGATATAGAATAAATTTGTCATAATGAGTGGTAAAGCTATAAATTTTTTACGTGGAGTCATTTGTTCACTAATTTATAATCGTGTATAAGAATTTCTTTTCCTTCTAAACTTGACTTAAAATAAGACCTAATTTAAATAGACAAAAAATAAAATCACTTATATAGTTTAGCAAGTGCAATATAAAAAAAATATATATATCCATGAAAAAACGAAATTACATAAATAATAATAATGGTAGTAGTAAATCAGTAGTTCTATTAATATTAATAGTTTACACTTTTTAATTCTAAACAAAAATTAAAAAACTTAATGAATTATAACTAATTACGTACCACAAAATAATTTTTAAACTACTAAAAATTTTGAAAAATTAGATATACACTATTTAAAGAAACGAATTAATATTTATAAAGTATATTGAGTCACTTGATATGTTTATAATATTTTAAAAATTAGATAAAATTATAAAGTTTTCAAATTATATATTTTACTTAATGAAACTTAAGACAAAATTTCAAAATCATCCCCATACAATAAAATTAATAGTTTTATTGGGGTCAACTGGATAGAAATATGATAAGTATTTTCTTTTTTTTTTTTTCGATTTAAACGTATTTGACCCCACTTATTAAGTTGTGGCACCCGATCACTAAAATTGCATAACAAAATTGATCGATGTAATAAGAAATCTTAATTAAAAACTGAAATGTAAATTTAAAATAATTGATAGACATTTAAAGAGATTGGCTAGATAAATTATTTGACTATTTTATTCATATCTTGTTTTTCATAAACTAGTTATTGATAACGGATATAAAATATTTAAACCACTAGATCCAACGTAAGAACAAAGTGTATTATTAGACTCCAAAAAGCAGAAATAATAATTTATCTCATAAATTTTTATAAATTGCATACTTGTCTAAATAAAATCGAAGCAATTGCAAAACAAATCAAAGTAAAATAAATACTCTAAATGAAATGGAAATAAACTATAAGAAAATAATGAAAATATAAATAATATAGATATGTGTAAAACAAATGCAAATTTGTGATTTATTTGATAAAAAACATAATTTGCAAAAAAATGAGAAAAGTAGCTTTAAAATTATTTTTTATTTAAATTATTTTTCAACAATAAATGAAGCCTCAATTATTTTATAATAGAAATTTTAGCCGTATTGAAAATTCTTTAAAACTGAGGTATCAAAGCTTTTTCCTCAAACATTTTGCATTAAAAACAACAAATTCTTATATATTAATAGCTTTTTCTTAAAAAAATTTAAAAAACTCACGTGTGTAATTAATAATAATAATAATAATAATAATGAATTCGAAAATAAAAGAACTATTAGTATTAGAAAAAAAAAAAACTATTGGACATAAAAATGTCTCACGTGCATAATGGTGCGGTTGGTGACTTTGAAAACAGTTAAATGTAACCACCGTGTCCCTAATAAGGACACTAAAGCCAACCAATACCTGATCCAGCCTATCACTCTATTACCTTTTACAAATAAAGTACACACACATATGGAGCAGGTGTCTCCTATTGGCTTAGATAGTTGGATTTATTACCTATTGTATGTCTTTTATTTATTACTACTTTGCAATGTTAATTAATATACAAATGGAATATAGTCCAATTTGGCATCCTAAAACTTATTTTAAAAAATAAAAAAGATCGATCTTTTGAATTAATTTAATATTTTAAACTTTTTAAAATAATTAAAATATTAGATTTGGTCACTTTTGAGTCAATTTAGCTCATAAATTTATTTTAATTTTTAAAAATTAATGAATTGATTTAATTTAACCGGATTGACTTTTATCCGTCTCGTTCTATACCAAAAACCCTCACATCAAAGTTTTCTGGCACTTCTTAATTAATTGCGGTTCAAAATCTTTAAAACTATTATTTTTTCAATACATAGTAAATTCATAAAACATGCAGTGTAATATTAATATGTTCAATATGAGAAATGCGTGGATTTCATATGTAATAAATTCAATAATAAAGGTCAATTTTAAAATGTTCAAAAGTATATATATATATATATGAACTCAAAATCATTAGTTAGGCTATAAAGAAGAACAAAATATTCTTCATGTGTCGTTTTTCTCTATTCCAGATTTAATTATTTTTTAATAAATTATATAACCTGATTCGAAATATAATTTTAATTAATGTTTATATAATAATTTTCACATTTTAATCATTCTAAACAAATTCTAAGGTTAAATTGATAGAAAAAATCAAATATGATCATTTAATCTGTCTTAACGAGTTTCGGTGTCAAATAGTTTTACAGACCTAATGTAAAAGGAAAAAGTCCTCGTGTATTTGGTATGCTATTATTTATTTATTTATTTATTTATTTTTTATGTATTGGATGTAGGCAAGCCAATTCCATATTTCATTACTTAATTTAATTTTCATATATTGACTCTAGAAAAACAAGGAACAAAAAAATTTCTAATCTGCCTCCTCATAATTTCCCATCCAATAACATTAGTGTTATGTTTCATAAGAGCTATCAATAACCAGCTAATCTGCGTTGAAACTAACTTCTTAACAAATATAGGAGCTCTTACCTCCTAATATTTGTTCATAGAACCCTAATTAAATCCAGTGGTGGAGCCAAGTTTGAAGAAAGGGGCAAATTTTTTTTTAGAAGTTAGGAGGGCTAAGTTAAAAAATTACACTATTTTAATGGATAAAGTTGAAAATTTTTAGAAATCTAGATATCAATTTTGGAAAAACAATTTTACTGAGGGGACATAGGCCACCCCTAGCCCTCTTTCTCTCCGTCATTGACCGATTGAATTGAATCAAGGAGCATGAACAATTTAGGAAGCACGAGGAGAAAACTAATTTTTATATATATTTACTGCTTGAAGTAGTGATAATTTTTTAAAACTTTTGTCTATGAAAATATTAAAATATTAAAAATTTACTTTCCTAATATTTTGAATAATTTTTGGCTCTTTATTTTCTTTCAATCTGGCTCAATCTCAGTCACTGTCTTGATCCTTATTAACTCAAAAGTACGTCATATTTACGAGGTATTATCTCACCAATAATACTTTTACATACCAAGCAAAAAAAAAAACCTGATGTCAGCAGTTTTTTTTTTTTTTTTTAAGGGGATAAATGAAAAATATAGCGTATGAAAGCATTTGTAATTTCTCCAATGGAAGCGGGTCAATCTATCCCATTCGGAACGGCTCCTGAAAGTGGTGGACCCTTCTTTTCCGATTCGACGCCTTAAATCACTTAATTCATCGACTATTATATTATATTATATTATCTATAATTTACATTTCGCGTCCATATTCCCCCACGTGCCCTATTTTCTCGCTCTTTATCCCCTCGTGCTCTAATGCTCTGCCTCCTCATTGCTCTCTTTCTGTTTCTCTCCCTCTCTGTCTCTTCTCAACTTTTCTTTTTTCCTCTCTCTCTCTTCTGCAACTCTTTTCACACATTCTCTCTCAAAATGAATTCTCATACTAATCTGTTATTACTCTTAATCTCACTGATTTTTTCTAATAATAATATTATTTTATTAACCTCCTCCTCTTGTTCTACTGCTAACAATGACTATTCTTCATTTTTCGATAAAGTAACTTCCTTGAATCACAAGTCTTTAAATTCGCTGAAGAATCAATCGGCATCCAGGCTGAGAAAATCTTCTACAGATTGCAATATATGGACTAAGGCCTGTTCGGAGGCTGTGCTTGCCCTGGCACGGCGGCCGGAGACTATTAAGTGGCTGAAAAGCGTGAGGAGGAAGATTCACGAAAACCCTGAGTTGGCTTTTGAGGAAGTTAAAACAAGTGAGTTGGTTAGAAACGAGTTAGATAAAATGGATATCGAATACAAGTATCCTTTGGCTAAAACGGGTATTCGGGCTTGGATCGGTACTGGTGGGCCTCCGTTTGTGGCTATTCGAGCTGACATGGATGCTCTCCCTATTCAGGTTTAGTTATATCCTATCCTTCAGATTTGTTCTTGTATTTATTTATGTATGTGACTATGCATTTCATGTTGTGTTTGTGATATGACTATGCATGTATTCATGAAGAATGAGTTGGATTTTATGAAGCTTTTTTATCTTTTTATTTTTCTTTGGGTTTACTTTTTTTTATTCCTTTATTCGTGGGGATAGAAAAAAGGAAAGATTGTAAAAAGAAAAAGAAAAAAAAAAGTCTATTTCCAAGTTTTTTTTCAAGGAAATCTTCCTTTGTCTTGTTTATTGTTAAGTCATGACTCAATTGATCATTTAAGAATTTTTCAAAAAAAAAAAAAAAAAAAAAAAATCTTCCTTTGTCTTGTTTTTGTTAAGTCATTGACTCAATTGATCATTTAAGGAATTTTTCAAAAAAAAAAAAAAAAAAAAAAAAAAAAAAAAAAAAACCTTACATATATCTAGTATTTTTACATTATTTTTATATTTGTTATTATTTTAATATATATCCGAAATAAAAGAGAGGTGTACTTAGTACTTTGTCATTTAATATATGTACGCTTCAAGATGGCTCAGATCTAATCTGACATGTGATAAATTATGAGAATATTCGAATATCAAAATTTAAGATTGTCTGGATATAATGACAAAATCGAAGAAGTATCTACATAGATTCTCTGACGTTAGAATCACTTTATAATTTGTTTGTTGGATTGGAAGTTACCTTTACTCTTTTCTAGGTCAAATTGTGAGGGAAAATGGTTAATTTAGCATGATAAAATAAATTAACCAAATCTTGTGAAATTTCAACTAACAGGAAGCTGTAGAATGGGAACATAAAAGCAAAGTTGCTGGGAAAATGCATGCTTGTGGGCATGATGCACATGTTGCAATGTTGATGGGTGCTGCCAAGATTTTGAAGAGTCGTGAACATCTTTTGAAGGTTTTCTTCCTTTTTCTAATCTTTTAGTTTTTCTTATTTGAGTAATTAAACATTTATTATATTAATATTTCATAAATTTAAAATATGGCAATGGAAAAGGGTAAAATTTGTAATTTTGGGTTCTCTTACGTCTTAACTCATTTTCCTTCCAAGTTTTGGAAGAAAATTTTGTTTGGACCCATATCTATATTTTTCTTTCTATTTTCCTTCATTTTTCCATTCTTTCCCAAACATATAGCATAATGGTTAAGTAAGACATAAGGACCATAAAAATTATTTAATTCTCGACATAAATGAATAGAAAGCATCTTATGGGTCAGTGTTTTTATTTCTCAAAGAAGGTCAATTTGCTTGGATAAGTTTCATCCACAGAATTGGAATAAATTTATTTCAGTTCTTATTCTTATATATATACATATGTACAACAGTTTTTTATTCATTAAATTCTTTTTTGATTCAAAAAAAATTCCCCAAGTATCAAAAATTTTAATCTAAAATTTCTACATTATAATAAATTAAATGCTAAATATTTCAATGGTATGTTAATGCCTACTGACCCTCTGCAGTATAAGTTCCCTTGAAGCATTAGCACATCCACACACATTTAATGAAAATGACATTTTCACATGGTCATATTCTTTTCTTTTCTTTTTTTTTTTTTTTTTTTTTTTTTCTTTTTCTTTTTTTTTTTTTTTTTTTTTGAAAATTGAATTTTTTTTTTTTTTTTTTTTTTTTTTGAAAATTGAAGTTGTTGAGCATAATAAATTTCTATATTGAACTGTGTTAGCTACAAGACAAAATGCTAGCTCAATTTTGACCCTACATTAGCATGGCATAAGGGCTGAAAAGTAAAGAGGCACTTTCACTTTTCTTGTTTAAAAATGCAGTAATAAAGATTGGTTTTAAGGTTTTTTTTTTATATGTATTTTGTGTATATATTTATTTGTTCCAAAATTTTTGACATGTTAGAAAATGGATCCTCAAGCAAACATGAAATTCTTTCTGGTTACAAAGAGAGTGAAATGTGGTTTCATATCATCCTCAAGTGTAACACTCGTAGGGTTAATTGATTTCTTTCTGTCTCTCTCATCATTTCAAGGCTCACAAGCTAAACTAAGACATTATAACCATTTTCAAATTAGTGGGTATTGAGAGATTTCTTCTTTTTGTTTTGAATATGTGACCTAATGAGTTGTTTTATTCATTTTTCCTTATTTTAACATTTCACACCATACGTTTCTTTCTTGTTCTTGTTCCTTTTCTTATTCTCTTCTTAAAATTTAATTATTAACAATCCTTTTTTATTATGGAAAAAATTATTTTGTCCAATTCTTTGTTTTACATTGTTGGTAAATGGTGCACTAGATGTGTCAGGTTTTTTTTTTTTCATAAATTATGAAATGATTAATTGTTTGGCGTGTGGACAATATTAAAAAATAAATATTTAGGTTAAATTATTTTGGAATTTGGTCAAACTTTTGGAAGCTTTCTCCCACACAATGACAACCACACACATATCTGTGGATGGGAAAGTGCGTGAAGAAGAAAAAGTAACTAGCAGTTAAACTGATATTTATCTTCATCCTAAACGGTTCTTTTCTAGCGGTAGTTGCCCACTAACTGGAATATATTATTATTAATATTGCTTAATGGATGTCTTCTCGTCAAACCATTTATCATTCATATGCAAAAGAGATTTAATTTTATTATTATCTTTTTTCTAAAAATAAAAAATTCTATCTTAAAGAGAATAGGTAGGCCAAGAATCTTGCTTGCTTTAAGAATACCTTATAATTATAAAAATAAGTTAAAATAGAGTGAGCACTGAGCACTTAAGAATCATTTATAATCAAGTGATGTTTATAATATTTTGAACATATGGTTTAGTACAATTGAAAGATAGAACCCTGAGAGAACTTTATATTTATTAATGGAAAAAAAATTTATTAATGGAAAAAAAAAGGCTTTTAGCAGGAAAAGTTGCCTTGGTTATTTTGTTGCCATTAAAAGTTATCTGTATAAACTCATACATGTACCTTTGTCATATCTGCAAGGGATAAATATGATAAAAGTAAAGCTTTAAAAGAGTTTGTCTTATTATAGAATAGAGCATGTGACTGAAATATGATCTAGAAGTTGTTGGTTTAATAATAAGGCTTTAGTAATGGCTGCTCATCATGCTAGCATCCAAGAGTAATTAAACAATAAAAGTAATGGCTGCTCATCATGCTAGCATCCAAGAGTAATTAAACAATAAATTGAATAACTGGGTGTTACTAGAATTTAATAAGAAAATGCTAATCCTAGCTGTACTTGGGATTTTATATCAGGGAACTGTGATTCTGCTGTTCCAGCCAGCAGAGGAAGCTGGGAATGGAGCAAAAAGAATGATAAAAGATGGAGCATTAGAAGATGTAGAAGCTATATTTGCAGTTCATGTGTCCCATGAACATCCTACAGGCATTATTGGTTCAAGGCCTGGCCCTTTGCTCGCCGGCTGCGGTTTCTTCAGAGCAGTAATTAGTGGCAAAAAGGGTCGTGCCGATAACCCACACCACTCTGTTGACCCCATTTTAGCAGCCTCTGCTGCTATCATCAGCTTACAGAGTATTGTCTCTCGCGAAGCAAATCCACTGGACTCTCAGGTTCATGTTATATAATTTTCTCTTCCCAATTCTTCTACATATAGCTTCTTTCTATTCCTTTTTCATTTTGATGTGTTTGATATAATTTTCTAATTGTGATACATAGGTAGTGTCTGTTACCACAGTGGATGGAGGCAATAATCTTAACATGATACCAGACACTGTTGTGTTTGGTGGCACCTTTAGGGCTTTCTCTAACTCAAGCTTCTACCTACTTCTTCGACGCATTAGGGAGGTTCGTAGACTTTATTTTTATTTTTATTTTTTTTTGAAAATCAAGTGAAAAATCTACTATTGGATTAGCAGTTTAATGATTGAGGGTTTGTCTGTGATCACTATAAAACAGGTGGTTGTAGAACAGGCAAGTGTTTTCAGATGTTCTGCAACGGTAGACTTCTTCGAGCAAGAATACACAATCTACCCACCAACAGTAAATGACAATGACATGTATGAACATGTGAAGAAGGTAGCAAGTGATTTATTAGGTTCGACAAATTTCAGAGTGGTGCCACCAATGATGGGTGCAGAGGACTTCTCATTTTACTCACAATTAGTCCCTGCAGCCTTCTATTATATAGGCATGAGGAATGAGAGTTTAGGGTCAACACACATAGGTCACTCTCCCTATTTTATGATAGATGAGGATGTTCTTCCTTTTGGAGCTGCAACTCATGCAGCCATTGCAGAAAGATACCTTATTGACATGACTAATGGGTTATGATAGAAGAATTTTGGGTTTACTTTGATTAGTAGATTTTTAAGTAGACATGTTTTAAGAGAGCAAGAGAATTTGCTGCGTGATTCATGCTCACGCTCTCTTTTTCTTTGTTGTTGTACTTATGTTGGGGATTGGGGACCCAGTAGGAGGAAAGGTTTTTCCATTGCTAGTGTAAAGGATGGAGGGAGAGATGTGGTCCTAGATGTAGTTGCAACTGTATTTCATGTTCTTCAATCAATAGTAAATTAGCATTTACTCAATTTAATTCCCTGCTGAAAGCAGTTCCTCTACTTCTGTTTTTTAGTGCTTGATTCAAATCCAACTTATCGTTAACATTTGAGCTTATCCAGCCTAACCCAAAAGGCTGAACCATTGATGCCCCTGAGAATTGGTGCACCAGTGAGTCCCACACGAGGACCATCAATGCTCAAATGATCTAATACTCGAGCATAAAAAAAATGCTATTTTTCAACAAACATTTATGCTTGGCATCCATTTTGCATAGGACAATACATATTATTATTTTAAAGGCGCACATCTTGTTTATTCTTCCTGCTTTTCGACAAAATGAAAATGGACTGGAAACTAACCTATTAAGCACACCAATTCAGATTCCAACTTTACACTAATGTCACGTAGTTACAAGAACAAAAATGAAGAAATGGAGCAGACTTTCTGTGTTCTCCACAACTATCAATTCCCTAAATTAATAGTCAAGGCTCACCTCTTCTCACCACATAAACATCTAGCAGCTTGCAGAGCAAAGTAAGTTAAGATTATGTCGGCACCCGCTCGTCGGAGACACATCAGGGACTCCATCATAACCCTTTCTTCATCAATCATTTTGAGAACTCCACCAGCTTTAATCATCGAGTATTCACCTGAGACCTGGAGACGTAATATTATAAGAAAAACATCAGAGAAAAGAATCACCAATACAGGAACAGCAAGTAGGATGTAGAAGACGATACATGAATATATTGCTTTGGTAAACAGGGAATACCATAAAAAAAAAACAAACAGTTGTAATTTGTAAAAAACATGCACCGCATCTCATCTTTCGAGTCTCCCTTTACCGTGGAAGAGTTTATCAATATGCTGATTGACAAGATAATTGTTGAGAATCTCATATTGACTAAATATCAAAATCCACAAAGGCGTATAAGGGTGGCAAGCTAGCTAGCTAATTGGTTAGCATTGATTGCCCCAAAGCCAAGTAAGTCCACATCACATATTTTCACCTCATGGGCCCTATTTGTCTCTACCCTTTCAACTTCTAATGATAATTAAATTGCAAAGCAGAAGCTATGGTTCGTATACATAACAAGCCATCTTCTAATTGTGCAAAATTTGATATATGCAACTACGGAAGGCACATGAACCCTGACAATATGGCAGCATCTGCTAGCAATCTACATCTAAAATTTGATCAAACCTCCATCCTAAACTAGTTAGGGTGAGATACATAAATCACTTTCCTCTGTTTAGCTTTGCTTTGGGGACAATATGCACATGTGGTGCACAGAAGATACTAAGGCATCATCCTCCACAAATAGAAAATAGAAATTTTTTCATGCAACTGCAACATTCAACACATTAAATCTGCAGTATGAAGATGAACAATCATTTCTAGAAACAGAGGTTTAAGGCTTAACGGAAGATGCATAGGAGATTAAAAATGAAAAAAGAAAAAAAATATATATATATATAGTTGAGACTGAAAGATGAGAACAGAGGATCAGGTTTTGTCAGTTGAATCTTGTGTGAAAATGGTTACCTGATATGCAGCAATGGGCAAAGCAGATTTATCTCTGAGAAGCCTTATGATATCCAAATAGGGAAGACCTGGCTTCACCTGTGTTGCAAATCATGAAATGTCAATATGATAGGCCCATGGACCACCTGCCATTAATTAACAACCTTCAAAGAAAGCAATACCAACCAGTAGGATATCAGCTCCCTCCGACTCATCTGCACTGGCCTCAATCAGAGCCTCTCTATAATTTGCTGGGTTCATCTGATAGCTTTTGTGACAAGCAAAACCAATATGTGACAGTGGGCATCAGAAACACTTGCCCCAAATTTTATGATAATTTTATTTTATTTTTAAATAAAACACATACGTCTTTTTGTCTCCAAATCGTGGATTTGAGTCTAGTGCTTCTCGGAACGGACCATAAAATGAACTAGCATATCTGGATTGACATAAAAAAAAATTGACATCAGATCTCACATGTGTGGCAAACAGAACTGATAAGTTATCACTTCTTCTCAAAAATTTATTTACTTTTTTATCACAAAACTTGACGGAAAAGCCAGACATAGAGGTGGATCTTAGCATTCATAGGATAAGACAACTCATAGTGTCAATTATTTAATAAATAGCAATGGTACCTACTAATTGCCCAGTGGTGGGATATGGAACCAGTGCATAAGCATCACATAGAAATATATTAGCTTAATATATAATGTTTGCAGAGAAATGATATTCCAATTACTTTGCTGTATAGGACATGATTGAAACATGCTGAAAGCCTTCAGCATCAAGTGCTGCCCGAATTGCTCCAACACGGCCATCCATCATATCACTTGGACTAACAACATCTGCCCCAGCTCGGGCCTGTTCATAGGAGTTACAGCACAAACAATGCAAAAACAGCTTAAGTCATAGAGGCAATAAGTTCATCATATATGTACCACTGAACTAATATGCAAAAATGGATGATATGACCTCCAACAAGGATTCAAGCCATCAGTGACCTACCAGATCTCAGAAGTAAAGGGCAACGCAAAGCATTTAGAAGACCATCCTAGTCAAACTTATATTAGGTTTTCAATTCAGATGTAAAGAAGTTTTTTGAGCACTTGGATCATCAAAACCAAATCGTACCATTATATATCAGAAAACCTCGAGCAAGCCACTGAGAATTCAGAACTCCTAAAGAAATAATTGATATTAAATGAGACTCTGGATTCTAATGCATAAATCAGACTGCAATTACCTGAGAAACAGCTTGTTTACATAGTTGATGCACTGTCTCGTCGTTCATGATAACTCCTGCCAGGTATCACAGACAGTAATGGGTAACTCAGAGTCCACACCCAAGAAAAGTTGTTTCTTTAGAGAATCAAGATGTGAATCACGACTTGGATGCCTTGTGCATAATGATGTTAGAAAAATATACTCAAACATGACCCACTAAATATATTTTGATAATTCTAATTAAGTTACATAATTCAAGAAGAAAAGACATACAACCAGTGTATGATGATTTTTTTTTTCTGATTTCAATTCCAACAACTGAGATTATATATGGTTAAATGATTGCCTAGCTATCAATTTCACTCCCAACTTTTCGAGTGGTTGCAATTTCACTCAAAATCGACCTTTGTACTCTAGGCACCAAGAACTTATCAACCTAACATTCACATATCTGGAAATTATATCTTCTTTATGTGGCTGCAGCTCTAGTAAAGAAGCTTACCTTATGCAAAACAACTTCAAATTCCAATTAGACAGTAGCTGGTTAATTTCATTCATGGTTTAAAATGTAAAGGCATCTTAAATTTATAATAATCATGTCAGCCAGGATTATTTGCTATTAAGAAATATTAATATACAAGTATCTATATCCTAGAAGTGCAGATATCTAAACCATAAGAGTACCCAGGCACAAACATATAAGTAAGAAAACAATCACAATCCTCAAATAAGATGCTGCTGTCATATGTTCCTATCAATCTATACTGAAATTTCAAATTTATCTTACCATCTTCTCTGACAATACCATCATGTCCATCGGAGGAATAAGGATCCAGAGCAACATCAGTGTAAATGACCTAAGCAACGATGGAATAGACAAAACCATCACATCCACATATAATGACAAACACCCAAAAGTTCAATTGCTTTTATAAGATATAAAATTGAAAGGTTGAATACTTTAACCTACAAGATCAGGATATTTGTCCTTCAGTAGCCGTATCGCCCGAGGTACTAGACCATTATCGTTGTATGCCTCATCTCCTGTGGGACTCTAGTATGGAAGAACCAATCAAATTGCTTAATTGTACAAAATAGAGGAGCAAATCTACGAGTGATACAAAACAGATACTGAAAACCATAAGGAGAAGGATCACCTTCAGACCATCTGGAACTTTGGGAAAGAGCACAATGCTATTCACACCAACATCCCGAGCCTTTGTTACCTGTTCCAGACATGGTTACATTAAAACTGCTCTGCAATTCAGTAAATAGAGTATTTTTGCGATGTATTTTCAGTATGATTCCAAAATTATTAAGACCATAATTTGTACTTCAAGCACGTCGTTTTACCCTTTTATTGAAGTTAGTAATACTTCAATTTTTTACTTGTTTCTTTTCTTTGGTGAAGATTTGAATTCATGATGTCAATTGCTGAACAGCAGCCTTTTTTATTGGAACATACAGCAATGAAAAGATCCTTAAGCTAATTCCATGTACAAAAACTAGTGCTTCAGAATAAATGCTTCTATTGAGAAAAGTTGGAATTTTTATTTATTTATTTATTTAAGTTGAGAATGAAGCAGAAAATTGAGCAGGAATGGATTACCTCTTCAACAAGTCCATGTCTCCATCCAAGCCTATAACATCCAGGCATTGCTCCAATAGGAGTGTCCTCCGCACCTGTAAATCCCAAAAACTATTACAGGCAAACTAATATAGGCACACATCCATAGAAAAGGAGGATATTTTTAAAGAAGCATGAACAGAATGCAAACAGGTATCCACACAAATGCCAACCTTCATGAATAAACAATGGATAAACAAAATTTGCAGGCGATATATTAGTTTCCTGGAATGACGCTCTCATTGCAGGTGACTTGCGATTACGACGAGGGCGCCTGCTAAGTGGCTGGTACAAACAAATCAGTATCAATAACCAAGTTCAGTAGCATAATTCAAAAAATAATAAGTCTCAAAAGTAATCTTCTTTAGAATCCCTAAAAGATAACAACCATCAGAAACTATTAATAGAACCCTGACAATTAAGCAAGTTATTTTACCATAGCTTAGAGGCAAATCACCAAAGCAGATTACATTTAAGTATACGTTCGATAAAGCCATAATGCAATGTAAGAATTAATCAAATGCCTTTCTAATAGTGTATATACATCAGGAATACATCTGACTATAATACATTACAGTGCCTTGCTGCTTACCAAGCCGAGCCCAAAGGAAAATTCCAAGCAAAATAGGGGAAACCCCGATTATAAGTCACTCAATCAAGCAAGTGAAGCACAAATTGAATTTTCAATAACTCACAAGCGAAGGAACCACAGGGGTTCCAGCTGGTGCAGCTGGCTTAGGCGGCACAGGAGGTGCCTCTGGCACATTTCCCGCCACAACGGCGGCTTCCCATTCTGCATCAGTCAGTCCCAACTTCTTCATACGCCCGTCCTGCTGTTCACTCGCCCTCACGATCAAAACACGCGTGGGACACACCTTTACAGGTCGTGTTTTAACACAATTGAACCTGAAATTGTTAACATTTGGCTTTAAACCGACGTAGTTTTTGCAATCTAAACCTTTTATCGCCGGAACAGTAGAGGGAGCATTGAAGATTGTCGAAGTCATAACTCTAATTTCCAAAATTGTCTGAATCAAACAAAATCAACGGCATCAATCAAAAGATAATCAAAAATAGGATTAACTTCCGCTTAGGTTATGATATGTATAAGATCGTTAAAAATTTTCGCGGGAAATTTTAGGTAAATACAAGAAGTGAAGATGGGGAAATGATACCTCGGGCTGGGAGAGAGAGGCTACAGAGAGAGGATCTTATCTGATTGGGATAGAAAAGGAAGCCAATGAGAAGAGGGATTTATGTTGGAGATAGGTGCAGTAGTTGACAGAGGATTGTCGCTGCCCAGTCTTGATAAGGACAATTGGGTTTGGGTCTGATTCTAATTAGCGTCTTGGTCAAACGTGGTTGGTATTGTGTGACATAAGGTCTATTTCTCCGGCGAGAAAGTTCGGTGAAGCCAGTCGCCTAATTAAATATTTTTGTCATTTTTTAAGAACTAATTTCCCTTCTTTGAGTTCAAAAGATTAATTTTCTTTTTTTAATAAAGTTTATTCTAGTTAACATAGAAGTACATTACACACTGAATTTTATGTATTTAGCTTTCTTTTAAAAAAAAATATTTGGCCTTAATTCATGAAAGAAAAATGGCATTACTAATAATTTGTGATTAATAAGATTAGACAAGATTTCTGATATTTATTTTGAAAGTTAAGAATTTGTTTGAAAATGATAGAAAGAAAAATGATAGAGAAAAATAATGAGAAATAATCAAATTTCTTTTTATAGTTATTTTTCACCTTTGTATTTGGATATAAATGATGGAAAAAAATAATTTTATTTTTCTTTATTCGAAAATGATGAGATTTAGAGGAAAGAAAATATTATTATTAAAAATTGATAATGATGTCCTCATTTAAATTAGGGAATTTAAAAAAGAGTTTAAGTTTGTTAATTAATTTGGTGTATTATGCATTTTAATAAAAATAAATGACATTTCCCTAGATATTTTTAATATTTATTTTCCCTCCTTGAAAAAAATATGAGAAGTAGGAGGTTTGGACTCGTGACTCTCATAAATAGTATGCACACCTACAGGAAATTACTGAGTTGCTTACTTGCTTAACACTGGGATTTAGTTCTCTCCAAAAGGCAAAAACATAAGGATTTAGATGGGATAGGAGTTGAATTTTTTAACTCCTCGTTTGGGCATTAGGCTATTGTTTGTTGGGCCTAGGCCCAGAATTATTGGGCCAATTGCTAAAACGTCGATTTGGATGAGTTGCCCAATTTTTTATATTGGACCTTAAACCAACATTAGTTGGACTTAGTTACCAAATGATATATTGTTTCGATGAAAAAGAAAATATTCCGATAGAACTCGTTTGACAATGACTTTAACTTGCCAATCAAGTATGATATGATTGATTTTCTTACCTCTTATAGTAGATATAATGAGTAAAAAGTCTCGAATTCGAACTCTCTCTACCACAAAAGTTATCATTAATTCGATTCGATGAACATAGTTCACTTTAATTTATCTCTTGTTGATATAACAAACTATAATAATACATTATTTACCATATATTTTATATAATTTTAGGAAATAATATTGAAATATAATGGAAACGAGCTGGGTGACCTAATGTTTAGATAACATTAATTCGAATGTAGAAGAAAAGAAAATGGCATAAGAAAAGAAGAACAAGAGTACAAGACCATCATCATTCCATGACACAGAATTAAATGACATATCAATGTCAATAAATATTCTCTTAGAGAGATGACAATGAAAGATTTAGACAATGACGAAAGAAGGCCAAAAAATCTTGGATGAAAATTGAAGTGTTTATCCGAAAGAAGAAAAGATACATCTCCAATGGCCATTTATGGAAGCTCAGTTGGCCTGGTTCTATGAACACAACCCTTCACTTTTAACCTAGTACAAAAATAATGATAATAATGAAGAAAGAAGAGAGGGGACCTAATAACTAAAATCATGTGATCGAGTTGATTTGATTCTCGTGGGACCAAAATCAAAAGCCAAGATTTTGTACAAACTCGTGGTTTTCCACGCATGAAATTCTTGATAATCATCACAATCATACACAATTTAAACCAATGACTCTTTCTTTTTATTTGCCTTTTGCTTCCTCCTTTCTTTTCAGTTTTCATACTTTCAAATCCTTCTTTTTTCTTTCTTTCTTTCTTTCTTTCTTCCCGGTTGTTCATGGAAATTACTTTCATTTGTCATACTAAAAGATTTTTTTTTCTGTACCATATATACAAAATTTATGTTTCTTTTATTTAGTTTGGTAGTTTGATGATTTTATGTGTGAACTTTCATGCATGGTATTAAATCTATTATAGAGTTATATTTTAGATATGGTTAAAGATTAAACATCAGTATTGTGATTATTAACCGATTCCAACTAATTTATAATTAAAATCTAATTTGTTGTTGCAATTTCATTTTTCTTATTTTTCTATTAATGGTTTGATATTATTTGGAATCTTGAAGATTTGGTTTTAGTCTTTATCTCTGTGATGCATGCTGTGGGAAAATTGAGAAAATTTGAAGTAATGTTATTCATGCATACGTGGGGTCAATCGACCAATTCTTACATACGTCTCTTTCATGTACTTTCTTCATCCCATAATTTTTGTTGTATTTTCATTTTTCATCGGTCTTAAATTGTTGTCTTGTTTTCATTTTTACAAGTGAATAACATTTAAATTTTAAATATATACCATGTTTGATTAATTTTATGAGTAATTTAATATAGGACTCATTTAATTTTTATGAATATTAATATCGAAAAAACTGAAGAAAAACTATAACTTAATTACATTAATTAAATTTTCTTAATATTGCATAATTTCCTAATTTTTAATGTATAAGAAATATCTTTTCTTGAAGGTACAATGTATTTGGACAATAACGCAGGGCTAGATAGCTACGTACGTTGCTTTTCTTATTTTGTTTCTATATAGTTTTTGGTTAATTTGGATTTAATCTCACTTTATTTGATTCGATCAGTGTCACAGTCTAATTAGTATAACCTATTTAATTCTGATCATATATAGCAATTTTCCATGCCCATAACTTATAATGAAAAATAGTGTTTGATGAAGCTGTAATTATAATGTAACAGCATCTGTTTTAGAATAATTACACAATTTTCTGTTGAAAATAATTATTTTTTACGTTTCTCAAAAAAAAAAAAAAAAAAAAAAAAAAAAAAAAAAAAAAAATCTTTATGTAATTTTTTATTTTCTTCTTTTTATCATTTTATTTGTTTAATGATTAGAGTATTTTAAATTAATTTTTATATTTATTGAATTATATTGTATATATAACTGCCAGAGAATAGTTTCCACGACAACTATGTAAGCTGCTTGTCCTTGAGCCATGCATGAGAGAGCTTCACGTAGACTAACTTTTCTTTCTTTTTATCATTTGTCCTCCTAATTAGTGTTATTTTAGAATTTGTCCTCTTTAATTTGTTATAATCCTGGCTTCATCCTGATTGAGAATAAACCTATTAACCTTATCTTTTTATGTAAAATAATAATAATTGGTATAAATATAATTTATTATTCAGAATTTTAGAGTATCATGACAATGGTTTTTGAATTCTATATGCAAGTCAAACTATTAATTATTGATCAAAAGGGATATCATTAATTTGTTTGTATTTGATTTTAGGGAAAAATAAAAACATTTTCTTAAATTATAGTGAAAACAACACATGCCTCCTTCTACGTTTAGATATTAACTTAAACCTTCCTAAATTATTATTATTATTATTTTATTTTTCCCTTGATTTTATGATACAATGGACCTCTCCAAGATATTTGTTAATTAGAACAAAAATAAATAAAAGAAAAGTTAAATATTGGTAATATTGTGATAGATATAGTATTTAGTTGATGTGAGACTCTTTATCATCGCGATCGCTATTTTATGAATCATATATCAGAATTATTTTTAAAATAGTTAGTTGATATGAAATGTGGATTGGAAGACAGACCAAATAATATTAATTATGATTAGCATTTTCCATTGTCATGATGCTCGTTTGTCCAACCAACAATGCGTTTCGCGTGCCATTAACAACTACTCATCGCCTTCTACACATATTTCACTCCCTTCTATGTTTCTTATGTTAATGGACATGTCTAGCGATGGCAGCCGGGGTACCTACAAAAAATAAACTACCCGATCTCAAATCCGTTATCATTTTAAGTATCCGAATCCACTCCGAAATAAACCAATAACATCCAAACCCGTCACAAAACCGTTTAGAATTTCCTGCATACTACCAAATCCGTTTAGATAAACATAAAAAATTTTACATAAACATAATACTTGCATGAGAACTAAATCCATATAGAACATATTAAAAAGTATCTCAATAAAAAAAATTACTGAATTAAAAAGTACATTAAAACAGAACAAAATTATAATAACAACAGAAGAAATTTTACATAAACATAATTCTTGAACTCCACTTGTTCAAGAACCAAGATTGCAAGGATTAACAATCAACATCATCTTCCTCCGCACATGAACAAAAATCTGAAAAATAAACAAGAACAAGAACTCCATTATCCAAGTCAGAAAAAATTTCAGCCCTATATAAAATCACAAAATACAAATCCCATATATATATATAACTTTAGCAGCAGAAAACCAAACTTTATTAACGAACCATTCTCAGTATATGACAATTATATGCAAATAATCTCATTCTCAGTATCTCTACACAACCTTAATCATTATTAACGAATCAAACTTTGAATTAACAAGCCAAACATGTCAGAATTCACTCATATAGCCACGAATCGGCTTATAATATAGCAGAATTAGGCTTATATTCACCATCCTTTTGCCTTTTAATATATATATTTTCAACAAATAGATCATGCAATCAAAACCACAAAACGGAAAAAAATAAACAATAAACATATATCTTCGGGCTGAACCCACAAATTTAATTCAACAATCTCCTTCTCTTTGGTCTGTATATTTATAGTGTATTTAATATATAAAAAAAATAAAAAAAAGAAAACGGAAAGGGCGAAGCAAAAAAAAAAAAAAAAACAAAAAGACTGAGAGAAAAAAAAAAACTGAGAACGAAATAAAAATAATCAAGAACGAACCTGGCTCTTGTACGCTTAAAGAGCACGACTGCTGCGGAGGCGACAGTCAAGAACGAAAGCGATGGTGAGGTATAAACAAAGACTGTGGCTGTAGAAGGAGAGAACGAGAGCGGCGCAGGTAGAGGGAGGGAGAGGAGAAACGCTAGACTTTGGGTTGAGATTTGAGAGATCTTTGTTTGTATTTGTTAAAATGCTAAAACGGGGTAGTTTTGTTTGTGGGTTCATTTAAACCTCCAATATCAAAACTACGTCGTTTTGATGTTAAAATAGTTATTATTATTATTATTATTATTATTATTATTATTAATTAAAAGGCTATAATTATGTTTCAATATTATAGTAAGTATAATAACAAAATATTATATAAAATATTAAGTTTAATATTTTTTATTAGAGAATATCCTTAGTAGGTTATAATTAATTATGGTTGTTGTAATCCTTAATCTATAAACACTAGACTTCTAAGTATAAATATACTAATATATACGATGATACTAATAAAAAAATAAAAAGACATTTAAGTAAGATCCAATCGTAATTATGTTTATAAGTTCATTGGTGGTTTTTTATATGAGTCATATTCTAATTTACTAAAAGTCAATGTAGATTTCATATTCCACACGAGTCATATTTTAAATTAAAATCTAACTATAATTGTCATTAGAAGTTTATTAGTAATGTCAATAAGTAGCTTTAAAAAATTTTAATTATAACATTATTGTCATTCTATTCAATTCATAACTTTTCATTTTTAATAAATTTCATAATTATCAAACTATAAAACATTCAATTAAATTATTAAGACATAACATGACATGAATACTATATATATAATTTTGTTTAATATATTTTATAAAAAAAAATAAATTCAATTTGTTAAGATGTTATAATTTAATGTACATAATTTTATTAAAATTTTACTTATAAACAAGATTATATTACTATCTAATAATACTTTGGATTCATTAATAAATGTTTAAGTATAAATTATTATAGTTGCCAATATATATATTTGTTGAGTATTTTTTATATGAGAATGTTAAATAGCTTGTGGTAAGGTAATTTAATTAATACACAAAGTTTATAGGTTCAATATTGTTGATCAACAAAAAAATTTTGCTTTAAATCATATGGATAACAGGGCGGGCACTCGTTACTCACCCACTTGAACTTGAATCCACTTTGAATTCGATGTGGGTACTAAAAATAATACCCAAATCTGTCATAAATCCGTTTATACACTATCCAAATCCACCAAAAATTAGGTTGGGTTAAATTGTCATCCCTAGACATGTCAATCATAATATTATGTATTCAATTCTGTGTTCGGCAATAATTTTTTAAGTAATTTTTAACCTTGTGATCATGCAAAATGCTAAATGCTATTTTTTTAGAGTGTTCGGTAATATAACATTTAAACTAATTTTTAAAAATTAATGTAGCATTTTCTAAAAAATTAACTCATGTAAATTTAGCTTTCAGCGGTTTACGAACAGCTACTAAAACAATTAGTAACTAAAATTACTAAAACAATTAACAGCTATCAAACCAGTTAATTTTGCCGAAAAGGTCCTAATTATTATGACATTGACAGTTTACGTATAAAGGAGGTAGTTTTAATATACTCTAGGCTTGTTCAGTAAAATTAGTTGTCGATAAAATTAATTGTTAGCTGTCAACTATTTTACTAGAGTTTCATAAGACGTTAAACAGAGCAATGTTTCATTTCATAGTCCGCTTAAATGCTTTGTCGTCAATCACTATAAACGATATATTAGTATTTTTATCTTAGTCAAAACGCTAAACATGAAAACTATTATGGAATTTACTGTTAAGCATCAATAATCAAATAATTAGCAAGATATATGAAAATTATCCAAACCATGAAATGAAAGATTTTTTTTTTTTTTTTTTTTTTTTTTTTTTTTTTTTTTTTGAAAGAACGAAATGGAAGCGTTTTAAAGTTGAAAAAGAGATATAATTATAGGTCAATGAAACTATGAGATGATTTTTAAAATGATATGCAATTGCAAGGTAACAGAGCATTAATGTTTTTTTTTTTTTTTTTTTTTTTTGGAAAGAAACGAAATGGAAGCGTTTTTAAGTTGAAAAAGAGATAAATTATAGGTCAATGAACTATGATGATGAATTTTAAATGAATGCAATTGCAAGGAACAGAGCAATTAATGTAAGAGTGGTCCAAATAAAAATTATGAAAGGGGCTGGCCCTCTAGTATCACAGACAAGATCATCAACGGGCACCAATGTGCCCTTAAAACCGTCCAATTAACATTCTTAGTAAGACCAACATTAGATGAAAAAGGACCTCATAGAAATTAATCTTGATTGTGGAGGGAACATGTCCTGTCCTTAAACTAATTGGTTTGTCACCCACAATATCTTCATTCATCATATCTGCCTTACTATACAAAAGAACAATTTTGTACAATAAGGGGATTTGATTTGATTGTGAGTCTTTCAAGACAAAATTTTAATTCTTTTCTTTTAGTTAACTTTAGTTAGTTTAATTACACACTAATCACATTCAATAATATTAATTATATATAAACACCTCCCATTGTTTTAGCTTTTTGTTGATTGGGATTTATTCAACCAATTTACAAATAAAGTAATAACTATTTTGATTGTTGCATCCAATAAGAAACACCAACAACATTAAGCCATCATTTAGAGTGTCTGTTTGGTAAAATTAACTGTTTTAGTAGCGTTTAATTGTTTGAATAGTTGCAGCTATTTAAGTAGTAGCTTTTTCATAAAATATTAAAAGTTAAATGTTACAGTGATTTATCCGTTTAAAAAACACTATTTTAACTTTTAAAAACTAGTTCAAACTCTATGTCACCGAACACAATAAAAAATAGCATTTACCATTTTGATCAGTCAAAACGCTAAAAGCTACTTAAAAGATTGTTGCCGAACACAACCATAAAATGAAGCATTTCGATTTAAAATCTAAATTGAATCAATCAGGCTCGTTACGTACATTATTGGATTCCGATTCAGTTCATTAGAATTAATTAATTGCAAACATTAAATTTGAATAATTGTTATTAGAAAGCATTCCAGAAGTGCGTAAGAAAGAGCTTTCATGAAGTCCATAAATTCCATTAATAGATGGTAAAAGTGGGGCAAGATGGAGGAAATTTCTTCCATCTGATGACCTAATTTAGAAGCAATATAAATTGTGAAGAAGACCGAAAAATTGGGTGGGGTCAGAGAAATCTGAATGGATTCTCGATGACCTTATTAAGGTAAGATCGGTCAAGAAAATCCTGATTTTTAGTGGAGAAAAAGGACCCCACTTTGCTCCCAAGTCAAATTAACTAAAAACAGCATTAACTATATCCACAGTCTAAGAAAAAAAGAAAAGATCAAAAAAGAAAGAAATGGCAACAAACACGGTTTGCTTTTAGTATAAAAGAAAAGAAAGATTGGATAATTAAAAATTATTTCATTAATTGTTTTTCTTTTGCTTTCTTTTGAAGTCATATGAAAAATCAATATAGCCTTGATAAAGAATTATGGAAATACAATATTAAATTTGGATTATTATACATACTAAATGAATTTCTATTCTCCTTTCTAAACCATCATCCTATGTTACATGAAAAAAATGTTTTTTTTTTAAGGAATGTTTGATTGCTGAATTCTTTATGGAAAAAGTGATATAAAAAATAAAATTTTGATATTTTATTAGTATCAGAGTTGTAAAAAAATATATATATATATATACTATACGACTGTGGTGTTCATCAAACCGCCTAAATCGCCCAAATTATTCTAAAACTGCAGTTTTAAAAGACTGATGGTATGATTTGATTTTGTAAAATTAAAAACCGATTGCTTTTGATCCGGTTAGGTTTTAGAGCCAAAACCGTCCAAACCGAATCAAACTGTTACATCAATATATATTTTTTAAAATTCAATTCAATTTTTTTCAATGAAAATTTCCTTTTAATGATTAATTTATATTGGATAGTAAATTATGAGATTAATTATATTGGATAATAAATTAATAATAATTTATTATTAATTAGATAAATTATAGATTATTTTGAATAATAATTTAATTTATTCTTAAATTAGATAAATTAATAGATTATTATATAGATAAATTATAGATTATTTTATAAAATGTTCAAATGTTAAAAATTCATGTGAAATTAGATTAATATATATGTACAAACTATATGCACCTAAAACTATACTTTTAAAATTTTTTAGTGATACATGTAATTAAATAAAAATTTAAATTTTATATTTATAATTTGCTTAATTATTGTCTTACTCAATATATAACATTTTTCATACTATACTAAGAATATACATGTAAAAAATTAATTTAAAAACTTTTAACAACTATTGAAAATCATGTGAATTTTATGGCATAATTTATATTAATTCAGTTCTCTTATTTCAAACCGCACAAACCACTAAACTAAAAGTTTGGTTTGGTTTGAAATTTTTTATGATTTAATTTTTTCAAATCGCACATTTTTAGTTATTTATGTAGGTTAAAAAGACTTATGAAACTCTTAATTTTTTTTTAAATTTATTGGAGGCTTTTATGAGCTGAAATAACACTGCGGGCTACACAATAAGGGTATCCCTCTCCTTGGCTCACTAAACTAGTAAAAGCAACTGTAATCGAGAAAATTCGAACTCGAACCCTCCCACTTTTCACATGAATAAAAAGACCAATCAGATCACCACCCACCACCCGATTGTCTACTAACCTCTTAATTTGACAAATGAAGTGTAGTTATTCTTATCTTCATTTGCTAAACTAGGTTTTTCTTTTTGTTCTTTTTTTTTTTTTGGAAAATGACTAAACTAAGTTAATTAATAACTGAAAGGTAAAATAAAAAGGGGGAAAAATTACTTTATTGTCAAAGATATCAAAATCTACTTTATTATATATGTTAGGGTGACAAAATCTACTTTTATCTTTTACTGTATTAACTGTTCTAAGTTCAGATAAATATAAATCATCAATGTCGTTTAAAACTTTTAGGAACCTTTTTTTTTTGTAAAAATTAATTTGAAAACATTAAATTAAATATTTTAATTAAAAAGACAGTAAGTCTGAGGATTTTTTTTTTTTTCATTTTAAAGAGTATAAGCCAGTAGTAAAATGAAGGAATTATTCAGTTAAAAAAAATCCAAATACCAAGCAAAAAGAATAAAAAAAAAAAACCGAAGTAAAATCATTGCGGATGACAGCGACGTGATCTGACGGTTCATGTGAACCCACGTCAGTTCTACTGGTGTCTGTTTAAAAACAGATGAGTGAGCAACACGTGGCAGACAATAACAGGCGGGCCCCGACACAAGTGTAAAAGGCAAAACTAATTCAGAAAAAATGGAATGGTAAAAGGGACAAATTCGAATATGGAAGGAGATTTTGGAGCAGAAGGGAATGGGCCCCGCAAAAGATTGCATTTGAAATGGGCCCAAAAGAAAGATTTTTTCATTTTTTGATATATTTCTAATTTTTTTTAAAAAAAATAAAAAGTGGGTCCCTTTAAATTTATTTGATGTCGCCTTCACTATTATTACAAGAGAAGAGTGATTCCTTTTCTCTACAAATTCTATACCCAAAAAATGTGGTCCCGGATTTATCCTCACCCTTTTCAGTACTCAAAATCTTAATTATGATGTTGGGCGTTGGGCCTCTCACTGTGTTAGTCTATTTGCTCTAGAAAGATTACTATTTTTTTTTTTTTTTTTTTTTTTTTTTTTTTTTTTAATTTTAAATTTTACTTTTTTGACCGGGAAATCAGAATCCTATTTTATTAGAGTTTATTTCATATTACTAATTGAATTATTATTGAGAAAATATTGTATAAAAAATATTAATTAATTAAAGCTCATTAACATTTGACTTTGAGGTGAATTTTAACATTTTTCATTCATAAAAACTTGGTCCAAATTACAAACTTATTGTAGTGTCATTTTGAAATGATTTTTATATAATGGGACCTTAAATTTCTTAATCCGGTTGCAATTATATTCTAAAAGTAAATTAGATATCAAAAAATAAAATTAAAATCAAAATCCCAATCTTGATTTCCTTATTTACTTGAGTTATAGCACTTGTTTCCCTTTTAATTGGAACAATGCGCTTTGTATTTAATTAAGCTTAGGTATTAGGTTAACTTAGCCCAAACTCAATAGTTTGGATAGCTGTATATTATTTTATTCAAAAATCTAATCTTATTTGCTTTTAGGATGCAATTGCAATAGATCAATAAGTTTAAGGTGCTCTAATTTACTGTTTAGACCCTTATATGCTATTAAGAGGTATTTACAAATAAATCGATAAGATCAAAATGTCTAGAGTATAAAAGTCGTTTTAAAGTGAAATTAACAAGTCAATACATAAAAAAGTTTTCCTAGTTTAAGTCTAAAAATTTTTATGAAAAACTTTTTTAGCACAACTTATGTCAGAGAGAGTCGCAATGCAATGCAAACGAGGTGAAAAAATCGTAATGTCATTGATAATTTTAAACTATTTTGGCATTACTAGTATCCTCTTAAGAATGTAATTGTATATGTAAACAGATTATTTCACTGCAGGTGCCATTTAGCAAGACTCAAACATTTATCCTACTAAACAATGCTGTTATGTTACTTTTAAAAACAATGTTTTTCAAAAAAAATAAAAAAAAAAAAAAGAATTTTTTCCCCTACCTAATCAGAATATCAGATCCCAAAAGGTTCGTACTGTTGTTTTATCTTCTTTTTTTTTTTTTTTTTTTTTTTTTTTTTTTTTTTTTTTTTTTTTTTTATTGTGAGGAAATTAGAGATGGAATATTTATAGTTTGGTCAATCTGTCAATGCATTTACAGCGTTGCACGAAGCAGTGATGGACATTGGATTTGATACCTGATGACTGTTCGGCCACTTTAAGAATGATATAAGCAATGGTGTCACAGTTACCGTTATCTGATGTGGCCTTTTCTTTTTTATCAGAACAAATTTAATAAAACAACTGTTTTTTTTTTTCTATTTTTGGATTTTTTTATATTTCTTAATGATTCTTTTTTTTTAACTGACGTACATTCGTATTTTTAATTCATTTATGAATATTTTTATTCTACTTATATTAAAAAACTCACTTAAAACTAACATTAGTCGGAATGAAATGAAATGGTTAAAATTCCTCCTCCACTTAAGATTTTGTGAGGAAAACTCAAAAATAATTTATTGTTAAAAAATATTTTTTAAGGGAAATTAGTTAAGTCATTTGCAATATGAAAAATTATTTAAAATTAATTATAAAACCACAAAATATTTAGAATTATATAAATTTTATATTTAAAAATTTATTATGAAATATGAAAAAATATATAAAAATCATAAATTATAATAGTCGTGGCAACAAGTGGTCACCTGTGATTGTTGGTGGTGATTGGTGATTACCAATGATCAATGGTGACGATGATCGATGATTAATAAATTAATAATAAATATATATTTATAAAGTTTTAAGAAATTGGTAATGTTTGAAAATTATTTTACATGCAGGAGAGAAATTCATTTTCTTTTTAAAATTACTTCATTTTTCTTCCAACTAAAAAAATATTTTCTATTTAATGATTTTTTCTAAACAATTCAAAAATAGAAGAGTGCAAAAAATATTTCTGAAGAAAAAACATAATTTTATCAAAAGTATTAATGACATCTTAAAGTAAAATGATCCACTATTGATCAGAATTGCTTGACATCTTTAAATGATATAATACGACATAAAAATTGATCTATAAGTAATCTCTTAAAATTAATTATTTATTATGAGATATCACATCTTAGTTAGTTACTATTTGTTAGTTGGAAGCATCTTGCTTTAATTTAATACAACCAAAGACCTAATTATCAGGCAATTTAACGAAAGAGTAATTTTCAATCAAATATTTAAAGAAGGAAAAATTAAATAATTGTTTAATTAATTTAAATAGTTAGTTATAAATAACCTTAACCACTTTTTTTATTTTTTTTTTTTTTTTCAATTTCGTATATATCCAATCCTACCAAAATCTAACTCTTTTACACCATCGTGACTAATGGGAACAAATTAAGATCTTCTCTCGATTTTCCTTAGCAATCAAACAAAACCCAAAGCAAGAAAAAAGAAAGAAAGAAAGAAAGAAAGAAAGTGAGAAAGAGAGAGAGAAAATATGAGTGGTTGTACCAACACGGTAAGAGAGAATCTAGGGAGAGATCATGGCAGGAAAAAAACATAAAAACCATAACAATAACATTTCATTTCTCTCTCTCTCTTCCTCCTTCTCTCTGCAAGAAAAGAAAAAAGAAAGTAAGAAAAGAAAGAAAAATAGCACTAAAGCTGTTCTGAAAAATAATAATAATATCTTCTATTTGCTTAGGATCTCACCTACTTAATAAAAACCCACGGATATAACTTACATAGACATACCTTCTTCACTCTCTTTTCTGCTCTCTCTTCCTCTTTGACTATCTATCTTTATATGTAAAGGGTTCTTGTTTGTGTTGTGATATAAAGAATTAATATATAGAAGGAGAAGAAGAAGAAGAGGAGGAGGAGGCAAGAATTGAATATAATTTGTGTTTTTAGTACCATTTTCTTGATAAATGGAGAAGAAACCGTCAGATATTGATGAAGATATTGAAAATCAAGAAGAAGAACGACAGCAACAACATTTTCATGTGTTGGCTGTGGATGATAGTGTTATTGATAGGAAGCTTTTAGAAAGATTGCTTAGAAATTCTTCTTACCAAGGTAATTTATCTTTCTATCTATTATTAATTCCACATTGAATGTTTAATTTGTATATCCAGTTAGGTTCTTGTTCTTAGAATCTTCATTACTGTTACGATTCCTAATACATGGTATCAATTATCAAGGTACAGTTTTTTGCTTACAATACTGCGTCAAGTCTTTTGTGTTCTTTGTGTGTGTATATATATATATATGTTTATGTTTCTTGTTCTTTCTTGATGTTGTTTCTACTTATATATGTATATGCAGTAACTTGTGTGGACTCCGGAAATAAAGCATTGGAATATCTGGGGTTGCTTGATAACCTAGAAAATCCATCTACTGATTCTTCCTCCTCCCAATCAACTCAACAAGAGGTGAGTTCTCTCTCAACTCAATATGTGTCTGTCTCTTTCTGTCTCTTCACCTTTTCTTCTTTGGAATAGGAAATTTTCCAGGAAAATATTATACATACAGTCAAAACCTCGATACAATTTAGCCAAGAAAAAAGAAAAAACAAATCAGTACATGTTAATGTTGTCCAAGTGCTAGGCATTTATTTTAATGTATAATTATGCAAAAAAGAAATAGATATTGTGTTTTTCTGTTCAATGTTTATGAAGTAATGGTTCTTGAAGTAAAGTCTGCAACTGTTTCTTTCACATTTGTGTGCGTTAAAATAATTCTCGGGAAATATTAATTATAAAAATATAATATAAATGCAAAGATATTAATTAGATAATTAAATTCATTAATCTCTGGTGATGGACCACAATTTCCATTATTAATCTATCAGTGATATGGAGAGATTGTACGATGAATCCTAGATTGGAGAAAGGTACTGTTAATTAACTGAGAAAATCAAAATACTAATATAGGATTCTTAACATTTATATATATATATATATATAAGAAAGAAAAAAGCTACATTTATATGTTAATCATAATGTCGCCCTTTAATCCTGCATATTTCACTTTGTCTTGCAAAATATCAACATGATCTGCATCAAAGATTCACCATGGAAAACATTTCTTGGATCAACGATATCTTTTACGCATTTTTTTCTCATTAACAATCACCGTTTGATTTTACTGAATTCGTCTTTTTGATTCAATGCATATGATAAATTCACAGAGTAACATATAAAATTATTATCTTTTTTTATTTATATATGGACCAAAAATGAGATCATTTGTATATATAATAGTGAAATCTAATGTATAATAGAATTTGAAGTGTTTGTTAGATTTTTTTTTTTTTTTTTCAAAATTATTGGTTTGGTTTGTTTTGTAATGCACCAAAATACATTAATCTTTTTGGGTAATGCAATTGAAGGTGAAGTAAGATACAATCCAAAGTTGCTTGTTTCCTATTGCTTCCTCTTTTTGCTACTTTTGTTGTCTTGAGGTGTCTTTTATTAGAGTTATCCACTACATTTATAATCTTGATATAGAAGCTGAAGATCTCTTTTTTCTTTTTCTTTTTTGTTTCTCACTTAATATTTTATGGTCTTTTCCTCTTCATTGTTCTTTTTCCACTTTTGGCCCATTTGAGTAACTAACATGCCTATATATGCAATGCACTGCTTTTGCCCTCTTCAATAGGCAATGAGGAGATGTAAAAATTCTAAAAGAAATTTAATTATTCTCCTTAATTATGACATTTTATTTATATATATTTTACTTGAAATGATAGGGGATGAAGGTCAATTTGATCATGACAGACTATTGCATGCCTGGGATGAGTGGTTATGACTTGCTAAAAAGGGTCAAGGTAAATTATCATTACCTTTTTAATTCCCTTGATATCTACTTTTTCTAATGTGTTTTTTTTTTATAATTAATTTATTAGGTTAGATAAAAAAAAATTAATTAAGAAGATTCGGTTTTAATCCTTATTCACATGCACTATGGATCAAATGGTGCAAGACTTGCAGAATGAGCTTTTCTAATAAATGTTCTTCATCTTCTTCTTCACTCTTCAGGGTTCTTCTTGGAAAGATGTCCCAGTTGTTGTTATGTCATCAGAAAATATACCTTCTAGAATCAGCATGTAAGTGTCTTTATACTTCCTCATCTTCTGTTGCTCCATTTTGAGTCAAGAATAAAAATATGGGTAACTCATATTTATTATTTTAGACTTATTTTGAAATTAATACAAATTAATATCGATATGTTTTATAATAAAAACTTTAAAATAATTTTCTAAAAGACCTAAATCTCAAATGTCATAACCCAGCGTTGGTCATGCAGTATAGAAAGTTAAAGATTCAAACCCTAATCTCGTATTTGAAAATATTTCAATGTATATATTATACGAAATTGAGTTTACTTACACCTCAATGCAAAATTTACTATTATTATGTAGATCAATATTTATGATTTATTAGGTGCTTGGAAGGAGGAGCTGAGGAATTCTTGTTGAAGCCTCTTCAACTGTCAGATATGCAGAAACTGCAGCCTCATCTTCTAAAATCCCTTGACCAATCTTGTAAAGAAGCAATTGATGAAAAAAATGGAATTGAGATGGAAAAGAATAACAGCAGCAATAACAACAACAACAACAATAATAATAATAGCAAGAGGAAGGCAATGTCTGAATCTGAAGAGCCCCCAGAGAGAAGACCAAAAATGGGACTTGCAGTTGTACAGATTTAGCTATAACTAGCTACTATCATTTATAATATTACATAGTTTTTCTAACTATGTACATGGCTTTATATAATCTTGGGTGTGAGATTTTTCAAAGAGTAAAATAGGAGCTTAACAGATTTCTCTGAGTTTCATAAATTCCACGGTTTCTTTTTTCATGGAAAATTTTCTTTAATTTTGTTAAGGAGACATATTTCAAATAAAAAGGGAGTGTTATTTCCAGATCAATAACACTGTTTAAAATGGAAAAATATCACTTGACACCCCTTATTAAATTTATCTATTCCAATTACAGTTTTCTTCTTAAAAAATCTCCATGTTTAAACTGAAGTTTAGCTTCGAATATACTCACCATTTTTTTATTAAATTGTATTATCATAAAAAACAAACGGAGAAGGCGAAAAGTTGTTTGACTTGAAAAGTAGCAGAACGACAAGTGTTACTGCATTCAGATTGCACGCGTTTGAAAGTCGTTTTAATTTTTAATAATTACTTCAAAAGACGGTCCTTCATGAATGCGCGTAGTTGCTTTTAAATTGTATACGCAGACTGTAAATTCTACAAAAAGCAGTCGTTTTCTCAAAACACGATCTTTGAATAATCCGCTTGTAGTCGTTTAATCGCATTCAAATTGTATACTCAGAATGGGTCATCTAAAAAAGTTGTCAGGAGGCTTTCTGTGGTTCAACTAATTGCTTCCAGGAAAACTGCGCATCGTTTGTCGATCAAAAAAAAGAAGATTCATATTCTACATATTGTCCCATCGACTGAAACCCTAAATCTTAACAAAACTTCCTCTTTAGATAGAACAAAGCCGCGCTGTAGTGTTCATAGTTACATCAGTTTTGTACAAAGGATTAAGGTTGGTGACTTCGCAGCTGCTTTTGAAGGGAAGGGAGTGAAAAATCTCGATACTAACACTTAGAATAGTCAATCACCAACCAAATAGCATTAGCTACCTGTCCGAACGAGACTACCACTTTGTTTGATATAAATGAGCTCGGATTAGTATAAACCAACTCAAAATTTTAAAATTTATAAATGAAATTTTTTTATTGAAATAAATTAATAAATTGAAAATTCGTTTATTTTTTATTCTTAAAATACCCTTAATATTAAAATTTTTAAAAGTTGAGAGAAGGAAGAACTTTATCAAAAAACTTTAGATTTTTAAGTTTAATAAAATTTATTTGAAAATTTCACATTTTATTAATAAAATTTGATTTAAATATATTCAAATCTATAAAATTTAATCTCCATTTTTTTTTTCATACCATACCACTTCACAAGAACACGAATCTCTAATAGGACGCAGCAGAACCTTCACAATAAAATCTATCGACCTAATAAACATGCAAATGCAGTGCAGGAAACATATATACAATTAAGGTCCATCTCTCAAAAATTTGAAGGACCATAATTGCTTGCTTCCGGTGGGTCTATAGAGCAATTACTTGAGGAAAAACATGAAGAATCCAGTAATATATTAAACGGAAAAACTCAGCTTACACGGTGAAGTTATTTTTTTACTAACCATAAAGGGGCTAAGTAAACTAACTGATTATTCTGATTTCTGACATAACTTTTAGTAGTACACTAAGCTCAAAATTGATACAAGATTTAGAGCTCATCCTTTGTCTCTTCTGATTCTTGCAGGGTTTCTTTATCTTGTTGCTGGGGAACTTTATCTTGGTCCCGATTCTTTTCGATGAAATCAATAATATCTTCTTTCGTCCTATCCCCATCATACTGCACCAAATTCCCACTTGAAGACCTGAAGTATACTGTGGGATATCCCTTGACATCAAAGGTATCACTCGGGATATCATTTGCAGTTGCATCCTGAGGCGAGGAGAAAATGTAGAATACATAGTTAAGTACACATCTTATAACAAATATTTTATGTAAAGCTCAAAGAGAAGACCATATCACAGTAATAAATGCAGACCAAGTTAAAACAGGCAAAACCTTTTAACTGTTGGAGATGGTGTACAGCAATATGTGAATCAAAGGTAGAAATGCTTTTACTTATTTACTCTGACCCACACCTTGTATCCTTCGATATAAGGCATAATGCATAAATCTGATCATGTATTTTAGGTGATTGTCCTTGTGGCCCCTAAACTTTGCAGCGGAGGCATTATAACCCTACACTTTCACATTTCAATGATACCAAAATCTAATGAAATATGAAAGTGAAGAGTCATAATTGAACTCTTGCAAAAATGAAAAATGAAAGTACAAGATTATGATTAAACTCTTCAAAGTTATTGCATTTTAATGAGGGGTATAATTATTACCGAAATGTGAAAATGCATGGCTATGATTACACTCCCACAAAGTTTAGGAGACCATAAGGAGAATTGGCCAAAGTTCAGAGTTTAAATTTATATATTAGAAATCTGATATGAGAATGCAAGAAAATAACACTGGATGATGCTGAAAATAAAATTACAGTTGGCTGTTTGCAGCATAGATATGATGATGGGAATCTTATCTTCCGAACACATAACCGACCCTAATAGTGCAAGCAGGAGTAGTTATCTAGTATCATTACGAAAAGATTTCAACGAGCAACTCCATCAATGCTAATCTTTCTAGAATTCTATTCTTTCCTGTTTTCTAGAAATAAAAACATTATCCATCAGATCTTGAACCAGGCAGATAAACAATACTTACAAGCTTTGCAATGACTACATCAGGATCATTTTGGTATGAGACGGCAACTTCATCCAAGATTGGAGCCAATTTTTTACAGTGTCCACACCATGGAGCATAAAACTCTAGAAGAACTGCAGAATACATCATGCCACCATGTTACATGTAAGTCTATGGAACAAATAAAATAAACAGTGGAATTAAATGAAAGACAGTAGATTATCCAATTGAAACATTTCCATGAAATTACCTTAAGATTCAATAGAAAAAGAAAAAAGTAAATTGGCTACAATTTTTTTTAATCCATGGAACATAAAACATAACTAAAATAGAATATAAACACTTCTCATTCATAAATCATAACTACTCATGATATTATTGGACAATAAAACTAAAATAACACCACAAAGAACTTAGTAAGCAATAAAAATGAGAAAACAGCAGCACATCTTATCTTAATAACATAATAAAAACATAAATTACTATTACAGACCGTTTTTTCCAGAGTTGAAAACAATGTCCTGGAGACTATCAGCCACCACAACTTTCACAGGCTCATTGTTAACTTCCGGGATAGGTTCAGATTTCTTGAATGGTAGCACCTTGCCTTCCTGCAAAGGTTTAAATAAAGGAATTCCTCATCACACCACCAGGGAATGAAAACTTATACTAGTAGTCCAATTTCATTACTTAAAAATGAAGAGCACATATTGAATACATGATCAAAACATTACCTTGTATTCCTTCACCCAAGGAGCAATATGATCAGGTTCCAAGTGTTGCTTCAGATATTTTTGTCCTTCATTTGTTTGTAGGATTATGAGAGGCACTTGATCCTCTTTGAGTCCAAAATACTGCTCATTCAAACCAAACAATTCGTGACATAAAAGAAAATTCAACTAACATGAACCAAAAAGTGGTCAGCAAACCAAAGACCTCACCTGGAAGGCACCTTGACTAGCATCTACATCTCCCAACAGAAAGACTATGCCCTCTCCTTTGTATTTCTGAGCAACTTCATGATATTTAGTTTTGAAAGAATCAGCAGCTTCACCGCTGAAGTTCATAAATAACATTGCCTGCAAATTCCAAAGAATTTGTCTCTTAAGATAATCAATAATATCTCCCAGATAAAAAAGAAAGATAAAGCAAGTGTTGACACTAGATAATCATGTCAACCAAACAGAAGATAATGATGCTCAATGAAACAGTCAATTGCTTTACAATATGCTAAACGTGAGAAGGAGAACATCCTTATCATTTTGAATCAAATTCATCATTTATGAAAGGAAGTATGCAACAAAAAATCAGTTTCGTATTTGGATTAAACAAACTAAAACAAACACAAAATCAATAACCTGACATGAGTTTAGGCAACTAACATTTATTGCAAAATGTATCTTGCATTTATACCTTAGCATCAGGACTATTGAAAAATTTGATGACAAAAGGGTGATTGCTAGGGTCAGTATTAAAGAGGGTCACAATGGGTATGCTAGATTCTTCAATGAACTTCTCCAATGTATCCAAATCAAAATCCTGCAAGAATCTAAACATAGTTAGACCTTTATTCTTATAAGCATCTATACCAAATTTGATCATACTAAAGGTGTTGCAGTACCTTAAAATCAACAAAGAGTTCATCGAATGGCTTGAACAGCCTAACAAGGGGCCCAGTCACGGACGACTCACCGCGTGGAAGGTGTTTTGCATCCAAGGTATGACCAAACTCATAATCAGACCGTAATTTATCTGCTACAGCTAGATAGTTTTCAAACTCCTGCCCAGATAACTTAGGGAACACCCCAATCTGTAAAACATCCAAAAACACTCACTAGATTAAATAACAGAAAAAATACCAATTAAAAATTATAAAAAAAAAAAAAAAAAAGGCTTTGTGAAGGTGTTTGCATTCCAAGGTATGACCCAAACTCATTAGATCAGACCGTGTAATTTTATCTGCTACAGCTAGATAAGTTTTTCAAACTCCTGCCAGATAACTTAGGGAACACCCATCTGTAAATACATCCACCAAAAACACTCACTAGAATAAATAACAGAAAAAATACAAATTAAAAAATTATAAAAAAAAAAAAAAAAAAAAGAGAAGCTAGCCACACAGCCCATACGTTTACAACAACTATCTTCTTGTCACCAATGAAATTTTAACTAGCTTCCCAGCCTATTTTTAAAAAAAAAAAAAAAAAAAAGAGAAGCAGCCACCACAGCCATACGTACAACAACTATCTTCTTGTCACCAATGAAATTACTAGCTTCCTCAGCTGATTTTAATTCAACAGAAGCAGGACCGCTTTGTTTCTTCAAATACTCTACAATGCCATCAGCTTCACGAGGGCCTTTATATTCTTGAACTGTTTTGCCTCCATTTCTCAAAATTTTGAGAGTTGGAAATCCCTTAATATCATACTGAGATGCGATGTCTTTGTTAGACTCCTCATTGGCATCAACTTTGGCCAAAAAGATTGGAGGGTCATGACTTGCCAAAATGGATGCAGCTTTCTCATACTACAAACAAAAAGATTTTCTGTTGTCAGTTTAGTTACTCATGTATAATAGTCAAAACCATAACACCAACCTTAACTCCCCATAGACGCTACACAAAGATAAAACTATTACCTGAGGAGCAAGATTCTTGCAGTGGCCACACCTGCAACAATAAGAAATCAGAATTCCATCCTCAGATCAAGTAAGTTATAGGAATGTGAAGGGAGCATCATATTCAAAGTAGCTTTTCTGGATATCTGATGTAAATTATATTCGAGGCAAGGAATGAATATAGTTTTCCTGCTCTCTAAAACTAAATAGCCATAGCTTTCAAAAAAATGCTCTCAACAATACTTTTAGAAACTCTTTTAACTAAGTTAAGTTTAGTAAGTTTAGTAAAGTAAGGTTGTCAATGCATAAGACATGAATCAGAAACATTTCAATCCAAAAGAACTACAGCAATGACAGCAATGTTTTGTTTTGTTGTGGGGGGTGGTGTTGCAGGAATGGAAAACAATAGTGGTTCGCTGGTGGTTCAGTAGCTATAGTGGCTGTAGCTGGGATGTCTCAAACACTCAACTGAAGTTAAAATAAACAAGCCCCGGTTTTTTCATACAGCGGATACATTTAAGAATTCAATCCCCTGTCAAATAGAGCTAAAAAGGATAGAATATTCGCCAGAAAGACACATCACTTAAAAGTTCTAGTATCAACCCAGAACACTTTATTTGATCCAATGCAATTATCTCCAGGTCATCAAAACTTCAGAATCAAATCCAGAAATATAAATCAGAAATGCAATCAAATCATGCGGTTCAAATGGAAAGACTCCAGCTTTAAATTTCATATAACAAACCCAAAATTCAAATTCAATCTATCAAGAAAAAAAAAAGACAACAGATCAGAAATGACAAAAAGAAAACAAGTAGCAAAAGAAACAGAGATCTCACATAAGACTATAAATGGATCAGATTTTAATCAAATAAAAGACGACCATTAGCATCTCTAATATCAAATTTCATACCAAGGCGCGTAGAACTCGACAACGATGAAATCGTGCTTGCTAATCGTGTCAGTGAAATTGGAGTGATCCAAAGTCAACACGAATTCCTTCTCTTCACCTTCTCCAGCTGAGATCGCTACAATTAAAGAGAACAGAAACATGCAAGACCAAATCGAACCCTTAGACGCCATTCTGGTAGAAAAAAAGAAGAAAGAGAGAAAGCTCTCTCTGTTTTTGCAGTTTAGATATTTGTTCTGTGTTACTCTTTACAGAATGGGGGTTTTATGGACGCACATGAGTAGGGCGAGAACGCGACAAACATGGTTCTCGCACGTGACGGCGGAGTGAGTTTTTCTGACTTATCCTCTCGAGTACATTTTAGGCTCTACTCGCTCTCCTTGTGGTGAAAAATCCACGTGGAAACGCTTCATTGGGTTAATCTTGTCACACACACATGTTTGTTTACAAGGCAAGTGTATATTGCATTCAAAGAGTTTCTTTAGCTAGTGTCTTCGGATTGGAAATCTACTATTCAAATAAGGTATTTTAGCGTTGGTGCTTCCTAAGATGAGTTTTGAAGTAGAATGAAGGTAATTTCTCATTTTACTTGAGTTAAAAAAATATTTGAAAAATGTTATAAAACTATTAATAATTGGGTTTATTATTTTATAAATTGCTATTTTTTATATAAAAACAGTCTACCTTTTATAAAATATTTAAATGTTATAAAATATTATTACCATATCTAGTATTTTGTAAATCCATAATTTTATAAAAAATAATTACTTTATATAAAATATTTAAAAATATTAATCATTGAATCTATTATTTTGTAAATTATCAATTTTTCAGACATCTTTTACAAGCTATTTAAAGTTATTATAAAATATTGGCTATTAAAGGTGTTTATATTGCAATCCAATTATTTTATAAAAGGCATGTTATTTGAAATTATTACCAAAATATTTAAAGATAAAATTATTATTTCATAATCTGTGCATTTTACATAATACAATCATTTTTTTAATTTTGACTATGACAACTATTATTTTGTAATCCAATAACTTTACAAAAGAAAATTTATTTTTTTAAAATTCTTATAAAGTCTTACAAAATATTAGTAGCAATCTGAGTGATTATTTTATAAATCAGTAATTTTTAAAAAAATAGCAACTTTTTATGATTTATTAAGCGATATTATAAATTGTTACAATCAAAATCATTATTTTGCAATTATATAACTTGCTTTAGACACCATCATAAAAAAATTCTTTCGGGTTACTAGTTTTCATATAACCAATGACATAATGACACGTTAATTCTTTTTCCCACTTCGTTGCACGTGGTGGATTATTATTAGTATATTTTTTTTGTTTATTGTTTTCAATGTATGAGATCTAATCTCGCGATCTCTTAATCTCGTAATTCTCTGTACAAAGATAGTAGATCAACGGTTGAGATCGATTTTGAATTCTTTTTTCTTTTTTGCATTTTTTAATATGATTGGCGAATGTCTAACCAAAAAAAAAAAAAATTAATTCTCTTGTACAAAGATAGTAGATCAACGGTTGAAAATCGATTTTTGAATTCTTTTTTTCTATTTTGCATTTTTTAATATGATTGGCGAATGTCTAACCAAAAAAAAAAAAAAAATCTAAAAAAAAAAAAAAAAAAATCTGATAGATACAAAGGAATGGGATGCACTCATTAATTTGAAGGTGGGGGTGTTTTGAATGAATAATTAATTTATTCATCATTTTTATGTATTTTCTCGTATTAAATATTAAATAATTTTTTTAAAGTACAAAATTTATATTGTTATAAATATTTTTATTATCTTATAAATTAAATTTTTTATACTTTTTAACTAGTTTTCAATATTAGAATTAAACAATAGAAATTTAGTTGTTTGAAAAAAAAATTTTTTTTTTGAAGATATATTATTATTTATATTTAAAAACTATACATAGATATTACCAACCGGCAATAATTTAGAATTGGAGAAATATATAGAGAACTTGCAGTCGGTCTAGTTAAAATTTAAGGGTGGACAAGCATGCCGGTTACAAAGCGAGACACCTTTTTCATCAACTTTACATCTTCTAATAGTATGATAATAAGAAATTATGATTAGATTTGAATGACAATTTCAATTTTGAAATTATTATTAATTTAGTTAAAAATAAAATAAACTATTTAAGCTGTTAAAAAAAAAAAATCTAACTAATTAGGTGTGGTCTAGAAAAAATTATCTCTTATTGTATAGTTTCGAGTATTATCTCCATAGATTGGGCATTTCAATAAATAAATAAATAAACTATTAAAAAAATATATTTTTAATTAGATCCAATAATTTATTTTTTAAAATAGAGGTGGTCAAATTTTCAACTTTTATTTTCATTGTAATATACTTATCTTTTAGAAATAAACAATAGCTTGTATAATTACCATTTTAAAAAAGCCTGACCATTTTAATAATTTATTCCCTTTTTCTTGTAAAAAATTTTTTGACTTTATATCCAATTTTAACACAAAAAAAAAAAAAAAAAAAAAAAAAAAAAAAAAAAAAAAAAAAAAAAAAAAAAAAAAAAAAAAAAAAAAAAAAAAAAAAAAAAAAAAAAAAAAAAAAAAAAAAAAAAAAAAAAAAAAAAAAAGGAAAAAGCCATAAAAAACTTGAGAAAGGGTATTGTTTAGAAGAAAAAAAAAAAAAAAAAAAAAAAAAAAAAAAAAAAAAAGGAAAAAGCCATAAAAACTGAGAAAGGGTATTGTTAGAAGAAGAAATGGCAAAAGCAATCCAAAAAAAGGACTGTATATCACAATTATCAAATCCTTCATCCAAAATTTTTGAAGTTTCCTAAGCTGAGAAATCTAAACATAAATAAGCCTACCTGAAATCATCCTCCTACACTGTCCAGATACAACAAATACCACCACCACCAACCAATCAACCAATAAATGAATTTTCTGTACAAAAATCCCTACATATCTCTACTCATGGGATATTGTAAAACCCACATTATAGTTAACAAAACCTTCACCACAATTTTCTTCCAATTGAACCTTCACCTTGTTACAGTTATCCTACAATCCTACCCTTTTCTTTTTCCTGTTTAAAGCTGTTCTCCAATCTCCAATCTGTCAAAACTTGTTTCTCTATAATTTTTCACCCCAGATTCGCTGCGCCTTGGTGGATCTAACCATTCTAAGTCTCATGGTAACTGTACATATTATGATGCCAAGCTCCTTCCTTGAAAAAGCTTCAGCTTACGAAAAATTCTCAAGCAAACTCAGTCTACCATGTTAATTGTAGACTAAACCTATGAGAATTACTCTCAGCTTATAATGCTGAAAGCAGCATTATACTAATGTATGAATTTACTATAAGCCTCCGGCATTTTGAAGTCTGACTTGCTCGTGGGATTTCAAAACCTCCGAAGTGAAGCTTCCCAAAGCCTCAAAAATTGGGACCAAACCTGCTTGTAAACTACCTGAAGCTGCATCGTGAACTTGCTTAGTAGCTTCCTTATGCCTGGCTCTCTCTTCTTCTAATTTCTTCCTCATTGAATCCAGATCCACCTTCAAATCATCTAGGGGTGAAACTCCACTTTCCGAAGGAACTTTCGACACAGCTTTATCTGATGATGCGTCCTGCTCCGCAAGCCTTCCCCTCTCCATGCGTAATGTCCTTAGACGTTTCTCAAAATCCTTTGTTAGGTAATCTGCTTTAATCCTTTGCCGCTGCTCCTCGTCTTGCCGTTCCCATAATTGATGTAAGTTCGAAGCAAAGTCTAGCATGGCATTTTCCACTGCCTTCTCAGAAATCCTAACCATTGCTTGATACCAATCGTGGCAAATTATGAAAATAGGTGGAGCACCCATTCTGCTTGGAGAAAAGGGTGCTATTCCATCAGCAGTTTCTTCAGGTTCAATAATAAGGCACCTTAAGAGCCATTCATTTAAGGACTCAATATATGATTTTTGAGTGTTAACCCAATTGTGAAAACAAGTGCACCAATTCATTAGCTCTGTTTCAAGTTCAAGAGTAGCTCTCAAACCGGAATCTCTTCGCAAACCAGTGTTTGCCTTTAGCGACTGAACTTTGCTCTCCATGATAGCTTGGAACTGTTTCTGGTGGCATCTCAACATGGACTTCCACATTCTTATCAACCTGCACATAAAAAGGTACTTTTTATGCCAAAACAAACGAGCAAAGGATTTTAAATCAATACTTGACAGCAAAAAATGCTAGGGATGACTTGCCGCAAAATCAATATAAATAGGAAATCATAATTTACTTGCAGGATTAATAGATATCAACAAAAGCAAAGTCTTGAACAGTAACAATTTTCACTTAGAGCCCATAAAAACGAGAAAAGAGTACAACGTGGCAGTAAAAAATAAAATAAAATATTGCATACATCTCTTAAATTACTATATAATCAGTGAATGACTAGTTGCATGAGGAATAGCCAGCACGCTAGTGATAGTGTCATACTGTCATTTTAGATCCAAACAGTGGAAAGGTACAGGAATTTAAGCATGTTCAGCACTTTGATCCAACAAATGAATTGTTGAATCATCAATGTTTGTGTCTCTCCATGAAAGGGGGAGAATACGTGCCATTTAACCAAAGAAGATGAGGAAGTATGATGCAAACGATAATAGATGTTTTCATATCATGCAGTCACTGAGATCAAATTTAAAATATATTATATTACCATTACCATAGCAGGCAAATAAGTATTGGATAATCAAGGATCAAACATCCAGCAGACTCCAAGAAAACCACAAATCAATTTTCATGCCAATGCAGAAAAGATGCACTGATAATGTGTGTGAGTCACACAGTTCTCTGTATATGTGCCAGTATGTTTTCAATACTTTTTAAATTAACCTTCCAGGCATCACTTCCCAGCAAGAAACAACTAAAGCAACCATATTTTACTGGAATATTCACAACTGAAAGGTTACTATTACAAGGGCTGGCATGGGGTGGGTATGTGTGTGTGTGTGTGTGTGTGCATGCGCGTGTCTATATGTTACCTAAACATGAATATATAATGTAAATCATGAACATCAAATGGCTAAAAACATCTAATAGATCAAGACGTAATGCAGTTAAGTACCCATGAATCAATTCAGTGATTTGAGGCTGCAATTCTTCATCTCTTAACTTGTGTATCTTGCTTGATATAGCATCAACAGCTCTGATCGTAACATTGATTTTTGTTAACAACTTCCTTATTGAAGCCTGGGCAGCATCAATTTTACTAGATTCAGCTCCATGTTCATCTAAATGTCTTAATCGCCTGCACTGTTTTTCATAAATAACTCGTAGCCTTTCTTCATCCTAAAATCAGCAGAAACACCTAGACATAGTAAGAAAGATTCTAATGCAATTAAAGATATATAAAAGCAACCTCAAATAATAATTCACCACATAGAAAGAAGAACAAAGCATTTTTCCTTTAATTTTTCTTCTTTACACAAATTCAGTTTGGGCACGAGGAAGAGAATAAAACTCTGTATAAGTCCACGTTAAGCACCCCAAAGAGAAAAGAAGAGAGATAACAAACAAATTGGTGAATTCCATGTTAAAAAGAAGGGGAAAATTGAAATGTTAATATTCCAAATCAAATGAGCAGGTCCAATAGACCAAATTTATTCATAACTCAGAAGCTCTTTACTAGGCATTGACTTCAAAATTAAAAATTGGATAAATATTTACGCATAACAAAAGATGAAATTTAAGTTGTTTTTAATGCTTTCATACCTTAACTTCTTTGTATAGTTTCTTCTCCCACTCATAAAGTTTATCTAGAGTAGATGACAAATTTCTAGACTTGATGTCAAGATCGTTCCCAGGTTCTCCAGAGTATGCTTTTGCCATTTTCATTGCCCTAGAAGAGATTTGTACAGATGGCCTGGTGGGAGGGTGTGATGACACCAGAAACAAGATCCGGGAGAAAATCACTGCATAGAGGCATGTAAATACATCGCCATAAACATTCAATATAATCGATTGAAACAACAGACTCCAATATTCCTAACTACGAAACTTCTCCAATAAAGACCATTTGATGAGAAGCCCAACAGGGACACATTAGATCCTGTAAAAACTTTCAAGTCTATATTAAGCTCAATATTTCACATCCTATCGAGTGATCTTCAATGAAATAACAGAGGAACTAGACCATGGCATACCCAAAAGCAACAAGAACAAACCCAAAAGCATTATTGAGGACATAACAGTGAGCAATCACGAAAATTTATAAAAGAAATGCACGACAATGGGATGAAAATAAAACAAATAGATGAAAAATACTACCTTTAAGCAAGGTGGTTCTTCGCTGGTAAGGCAACTTGCTCACCTCAAGCAATGAAGCAACCTCTCTTCCATAACTAGAGGCAGTCTCAAATTCATCTCTTATTTCCTTCACCACTTCTTGGAGATCCCTAGAGCTGTGAACTGATAATGTAGTTAAGCTGCTAGGTTTTGAAGATTCAACATCCATAGTAGATGCCTCCTCAACTTCAAAGCTCACTCCTTTTTTCCTGACAGACTCCTCACCAGGACTTTTAGAAACAATACTCTCAGGACTGCGAAATGTATCAGGACTAGTACTGCTCTTAATGTCTTTACCTTTAACTGAGTCTATACTTTCATTGCCGCTATGAACTGGTACCGATTTCGAGGTACCCTCTCCAAAATTCTTATTGACTTCTTCATTGAATTTGAATTTGCCATTCACATTTATTTCATCTTTTCCTTTCTTCTTTTCATTGTTAACTTCTTTTATCACTTCTTGCTCTGTTTCATCTTCCAAATCAGGAATCCCTTCCCTTTCCCTCACCTCTTTTGAATCCGGACTACTTGAAATCGACCCGTACCCGTATCTTCCTGCCGAGTAAAAAGCCGGATAGCCACCACCAGCATCGTTATCATACGTGTCGAACACATTAAGAAAGTCCCACGCGGATACTCTCGGCGGAGATGGCGGGGCCGGTGGTGGCCTTTGAGGACTCGGCTCCATCTGCTGTGAACCCATCATCGGGTACCCGAAATACCCACCATTTTCATAATAACTCGAATACCCATTTACAGTTGGATCCTCATACGCCACCGTCTTTGTCGGAGTGGCTGACTTCTTCATGTAATACATATTGGGATAAGGATTGGAGAAGGGATGCGGATACGGGTCCGAATATAGATATGGATATGGATATGGATTTGGATTTTCTCCAGTATTATTGTAACCCCAATTCTCGCGATGAGGATAATCATCAAAACCGTAAGTAGTTGAAGGTACTCCTCGTTGCTGCTCTTCTCCTTCTTCAGGCGTATCATGGATATGAATATGACCCGAATCAGAGTCCAAATCCGACCCAGATGACAAATGCAAATGCGAATCTTCACTGTCCTCTTCTTCCTCTCTGTTTTTGCTCTTATTATTATGATGATTATTATGATGATTATGATGATGACGACGACTACTTCCGTCTATAGAATGCGAAATCGACGTCGATGTGGAAGAATCTTTTGATTTCGGCTTTGATTTCCCTTCTCTGGAAGGTAATATCAAAACAGGGGAACCAGGAGACGAAGAAGATGCGATCACGAGCTCCTCGTCAACGAATCTACTAATTGCATCGCCAACATCCCTTAAAGCGTGGAAATACAAGACATGAGCGGCAGCGAGGGCATAACGGTGATCAGATGCAGCCTTAATAAGTTCTTTACGCTCTCTGCAACGAGTTACCAGTGGCAAATCATCGACCTTGGATCCTCCACAGCCCATAGCAGAACCCAAAACAAAACGGATAAGAGCAAACCCAATTGAGTCAATTGAGAGAGAAACAGCATAGATATAGCTTTCATGGTGATGATGCTACTTCGAAACCCTGACCATACAAATGGAGAGGAAAAGGAAGCATTGTGAGTAACGATAGATCCAAGAAAGAAAAAAAGTAAAGTGAGATAGGCTAGAAAAAGAGAGATTAGAGATGAAAAGTAGAAATCTTTTTTCAATTAAATGAGAAAAACCATGAAAGGACTAGAAACAGAGCTATCATGCATGAACAAATACATAGACAGACAGACAGACAGGTAAAAAATTGAGCACACGTATAGTAATAAAACAGTGAGAATCGTGCATGGAAGAAAGAGAGAGAAATCTGACCGTTGAAATTGGTGAGATTGAGAGGGGACCGTCCATACAAGGGAAGGAGGGAGAGAGAGAGAGAGAGAGCTCTGGAAATATTTTTGATGAAACTTAGATATGTAAGTTTGTTGTTTAGCAGTGTAAAAATGAATGATACATAGAGATGCGTGATAGGGTTTTAAGGATCTGTCAGTAATTGGAAGAAAAGGTTGGGGTTTGGGGTTCCGGTGTTCCTCTTCTGTGTACAGAATTCAGAGTTTCGGAGAAAGAAGAAGGCTCGTGGAACCCGCCATTGGTAACGGACCCTGTCATTATTATTACTGCTACCATTTTCAGGTCGTTTTCCTTTTTTTAATTAAAAATCAAATCTCATGGTCCTTTTTGATAAAAAGGAATCAGTTGGTTGGTGGTCTACAATATTATTTTTTTCTTACATATTCGATATATACTTTTAAAATATTAAATAAAATAAAGTTATATTAAATACATAGAAAGATTAAAAGATATAGAAACTATTACGTCTTTTATTTTAAAATATAAGTGGATTTATAAGGTGATATTTTATTCTTAATATAAAATATTTTAAAGAGTAATAAATGATATATTTTTAATGTATTATTTATTTATTTTTTAATATTGATTTTGAGATAAATTACCTTTTATTTCGTTATAATTTAATAGAATTAATGATTTCCTTAATTTTCGTATAAAAATTTTAAATGATTTATATTTTAAAACATGTGAAATATTTAATAATTTATATTAAAAGATATATAAAATCACATTTATTAAACATAATAACATATATCCACTATTTTAAAAATTATAAATTATGTTCACTAAATAGCAATTTCACAAATTGAGATGTGAAATAAATGTAATTTTATTAATTGAAGAGTTTAATAGGTGGACTTATAAAAATAAAAGGCGTGAATTTTTCTTATAAAAATTTTTCTTAAAAATTTTAAGTTAAGAGCCTAAAATGTATGAATCAATTTGTAATAGCAATAGCATCACCAAACAAAAATTTTGGTGATGCCATTTTGGATCTATACTTAATTTCCTAATTCCTTGTACCTGTCCTAAAGATTAATTTGTTATAGAATATTATAAATGATGTTCAACATTTATATGAGCAATGTTAATTTCATGACAACAATAATGCTATTGCTAGCTAGGGGCGTTATTGCTGCCACACATTAAATGCAATTTGATTGGATGTCCTCATTTCATAAATTTTTTCCTCATATATATATATATATATAGACTATAGATCTTTTTATTTCTTCATCATATTCTTTGGATTTCTTATTATTTCTCACAACTTAAATCATTATTTTCTTTTTTCCTTTTTTATACGTTAAAAAATAAAAGAGATAAAAAATAAAATATAACATCCATTATATATAAAATATATATAGAAAGAGAACATCTTAACAAAATGTCACCAAAGATAGTATTCTATGCTCTCTTGCTTTTTAAAAGCATTTACTATAATACATATAAACAAAAAGAAAAGGAAAAGGAGTTCAATAGCAAGAAGTGGTTTTAGCATTTCTTAATTTGCATTTAGATTTTTAATGGTAAAAGTTTAAATATTTGTCTCCCGTTATAAACTTTTATTGAGATTTTATATCTTTTAACATTAAAAAAAAAGGCAAAATAAAATAAAATAATAAATTGTAAATTTAAAAAACAAAATTAGGGTTTAACTTTAACTTTATACACATTATTATTATTATTATTATTATTATTATTTTTAGACACAAAATTACCAAATCATTTTTATGAATTTATATATAAAATAATATTATAGGCATGCCCCCACTGACCTAATGCGTCTAATTTCTAGTTACTTGATACATTGTTATAGCCACCAGAATGTATAGTATCAAATGAGTCAATTGACCTCTTTTTTTTCTTTTTTTTTCTCAATTCACCTTAAATATTAATGTATTTTTCTCAATTGATCCCTCGTAAAATTCAAAATAAAATCATGTTGGCACATAAACGATAACTAGGATTAGCTAATTCAAGAGAGAAAATTTGCCAGTATCGCATAGGATTATGCCCAAAACTTTGTTGAGGTTTATTAAACCTTATAATACAAAAATAAGTTCACCTACTAATTAATTAGATTTTTAAAATTTTCGAACTATTAATTCACAGCAAATAAATAATTTTTCTTTTAGCATTGAAAAAAGAAATAACGTATAATTAAAATTTGAATGGCAGAGGAAAATAATTATTAAAATAGAAAAACTATAAAATTATGTAATTTAAATTAAAATATGAGAGAAGGGAAAATAAAAAATGGTGCTTAATCTAATAGTGTGAATAATTGAAGGTATTAGGTAGGCAGGTTGCAGTTATGATGGCTCCCTCTCCCCACCGGCAAAATACGCTAAGTTTGAGTCAGACACACGTCGACCAGCCCTGCACCATATGAATGTCTGCGTGGCGTTTTTGTAATTTGCTGCTCAAATTCTTAAGTTAGACTTATCCAACTCCCGCGTCCGGTTGCATCCACGTTTAGGGCGTGAAGTTTGCAGACAATTGCATTTCCGATTTTAATTTTACTTGTGCCGTGTTTGGAATCTGAAATTTATTACGGATTTTAATTTTGCTCATGCTGTTGTAAGTTATACACATGGAAACTTAAGTCCTTAATATAAATATCGTTAGATGAATATAGTACACATGGAAAGAAGGAGGTTGTTAATTGTTTAGGTGAAAGGGACGTTATTAAAAAGGAGTTGTTGAGTAAACGTTGAATATGATTATTTCACGTTATTTTTATTTTTATTTTATTTTTTGAACAATAATCTCGTGCATGTCAACCAATGGGAAATGCATTTGCAATCTGTATTAAGATTATAATAAAATATTTTCTTTATTTTTCGATGTCAGGGTAATCAAGAAAATCGAGCTATTTTTTTAAAAAACGATTTTTTATTTTCAAGAGAAAGAAATATTATTCAGATATTAAAATATATTTTTTAATTATTAATTATTAATAGCTATCATCATTTATTACCGGTCATAATTATTCATCACCATCAATCATTGGAGATCATTATAATTTATTATTTTCAATATTTATAAAATTAATTTTCAATATTATAAATAAACAGTGGAGAATGAATTATTTAAAAAGTAATATTTTTCATAAAAATATTTTTCAAAAATAAGTTACTTTTTAAAAACTAACAGAGTCTAATAATTTCAATAAACCTTAAACTCAAAAGCGATTTAGTGTAAAAAGTAATTATTTAGAAAAGAAGGGTTAGTGTAAAAAAATAAAAAATCTGTGTTCGCGTCTAAAATAAACCCCACAAATTTAATTTATTACTTATTTGATCTCGAAATTTAATTTAATTTTTTTTCCAAATTTATTAGTTATTTACGGTCCTATCGCTTGTCGTACATGGAGAAGAGAAAAATGTAAAAGAGTATCTTGGTTTTGTTTGCTTGTATGTAGTATGTATTTTGTTTGGAAGTGAGTGAGTTGGGCGGATTCTGACCAACCATTTGGGCATGGGGTCTACGCTTCAATTTCCTTTTTCCTTATAGCCGAAATTGCACTTTTTGTATTTTTATTCAATTCATAGATTCAGTATCAGATCTTATTTTCCCTACTCATTACACACTAAATAAATGACCTCATATAGTTGTTGGTTGGTGGCGTTCTATCATTATTATTATTATTATTATTATTATTATTATTTAACAGACATATTTTGTTTAATACATATTATATATTATAGAAATTTATTATTTTTATTTTTACATAAATTATACTTTGTAATTTAATTAAATGAGCGATATTTTCTAAAAAATATCCACCATTTTTGTTTAGACTTACTCAAAAATTTATCCAGCAGTATTCTTCCTCTTTCATATTTTAGCTATCATTATTTTTTTTTTCTCATATCATATGTGATTTTAGAAAATTAAATAAATAGTAATTATTTTTTCCAACTTTATTTTTGTCGTTTGATATTTTACTAATAAACATATCAATTATTTAAAAAAGCAATAAATGATAAGTTAATTGATATAGTAAATATTTTTTAATTTGATATTTTATTTATTTTCTCAATTTTTTTAATTACCTTCAAAGCACTTAATTCGTCATTTAATGAGTATTAATATGTTTTCCATAAGATTTTTTTGTCTCTTTTTGTTGTTACACTGTGTTTAGATTCGTGAATAAAACGAGAGGAAAAAAATTAAGAAGGAAAGTTCACTTATTTGGGAATAAAAAAAAATGTGGAAGGAAAATAAATTATGAGATCACACCAATCTTTTTCCTGGAGGAACATAATTAAAATTATAATTTTACCTCTACTTACTGTACTTTTTAAATTCATAATTTAATATTCATAAAATCATTTTTCTCTCCTTATTTTTTCTTAAATCCAAATATGAAAAAAAAAAATTCTTTTATATTTTTTTATTCTCTTTCCATATTTTTTTTCCTTCCTAAGTTGATATCCAGAGACACAATTAATTTTGATGGATTTGCAAAATTTGATGCGCGCATGATCAACGTCCAAAATTTGATGCTGGACAGGAAGCACGTGTTATTCCGTACTCTTTGAAGCATAAGAACAATTCTCGTGACTGAATCTAGTTTGACTTGGGGCGCTCTTGTCAGGAGGAGATGGAGATCCTCTGCATGCGTTAGCTTAGTAAGAATTCCAGATTGTTTGACTTTCCCGAAAACTGTCTGCACGGACAACCATTAAATAGTAGGACACCACCTTATACTGCCACGTGTTTATTGATGATTGTATCTGGCGGCAACATTACTTAATTTCTCCGACAAGCTTGGCGTTATCTGTTTAAGAAAATTAAGTAATTTGTTTTTTTTTTTCTCAATTTTTAAACGAGATAAGAACAATTATATAAATAAATACGTTGTATTTTTTTTAAAAGATAAATAGTTTGTATTAGTTATTCTATTAATTAATTATATGTAGGAGTACTTGAGGGTAAATCGGTAAATTAAAATGGATTAATCGAATTAAACAGTTATATTCAATTTGATTTTGTTGTGCGGTGCTCATTCAGGTGGGACCCACAATAAATTTAAAAAGAAAAAAAAAAGGAGAAAAACATGCTGTTTGAAAAAGTAAAAGGTTGGTTGCCAACTATTCAAAGGTCAGCAACCAACTACGAAATTAATGGAGAGCCGTGTGTAACAAACACACGACTCTCTCATTCCCTCTCCTATCCTCCAGGTGTAAAGATGCACAACAGCAGAAAGAAAGAGAAATGTAGCTCGAAGAGAGCTTTGCTATTTTC